ATTCGTTCTCAGGCTGAATGAGATGTAGCTGCTGGAGCGTATTTAATCCCTGTTGCCAGGGCTGCATAATCCCTCCCCAATGTCTATCAGATAGTCTGGTATGAATAATGATGTATTCTAACGCCTCAGTCACTGACCTGAAGGTGACCTGTAGCGGCCCCAGCCTGGCAACAAGCGTGACATGCCTGAGCCCGAATGGTGCACATCTGATCGCTGACTCACACGACCCAGGGAATAGGTGATGGGTGGGCACACGGGCACAGCGGGGTTCAAAGGCATCACATCCCTGTCATTGCCCCGAGCTCGAGCCTTGACACAGCTGTTGGGGATGAGAAGAGGCACGAGGTGTTCGGTCACCAACCCCAGTCAGGCAGATGCACGCTTAGGTACCAACAGCCCACCAACGGTCCTTTATCGGGTGGTGGGAGTGTTAGGCAATACTGACATCGCGGGTTAACTACTTTCGTGGGTGATGTTCTTTTGATTCGAAGGATAACGGTGGCCGAAAAAGATTTTCATTTGACTTGGTAATATAAGATGAAAGACTTATGAATGATTAAAAACAAATACCATCGCTGGATTTGTTTGCTTCGCATGTAACTGATGGGTTACGAATCAAATGGCTTGAGAAATGGCGGAAATAGAGGAAATGAAAACTTATGTTTTAGTGAGAGTCATTGCATACCATGACTGTCTTGGCTTTTGACATGTTCTTCCCTTCATTGGTGACGTTTGTATGTCGGTTTTTATCCCCATGCCATGATGCAAATGCCAGTGTTTCAATATGGTGTCCACATTCAGATATTTCGAGCTTTCTCTTTCCTACAATGTTCAGTCGCCCGCTTTTCCATTTTGTTTTCTACGTAAATGCTCGTTCTCTTTGCTTCTTGGCATTGTTCGCTCTCTCTTTCTTTATTGTTGATGATATAAATCGTTTTTTTCTCTCTTTTTGACTAAAGTGAACATGCTACTCACTGTTGAACAACTTTATCGTCTTTTTCCACCCATGACTTTTCTCGGAGTGTGCTACATTTGGTGAACCCTTGTTCCCGCGAGTGTTCTAACGCTGTCCCACCTTGCTTGCATGCAGCAAAACACTGCGGGGTTTGACCCATGTCCAAACACTTCGCTTTGGTAAGATTCTGTCAAAACATTTCTGCACGAAGTCCGTAGTAAATGGCGCACTGTAGTTAGTAGATGTTCTCCGCTGTTCACGGTGTCAAAGATGTCTCAGTTATCTAGGACAGTATCTGTCACCATTAAATTCCTCCACTGCGCAGCTGTAGACCGGATAGACGAGCCTCTGCAGAGCTTAACTGAGCTACTGACTTAGCTGCATGACTAGTATAGGCAGCTAAGTAGCTCATCACACTGGACCACAATTAAAAGATTTACCTGTAATGTGTCATCCGCAGAATGGCTTGCCCCAGTGTTGGCCAGCACAATAATAGTTGTATGTAACATGTGCACTAGAGATGAGCTGCCTCACGAACCGATAGCTTGTGGTCAAGTTAAGTCCACTTAACCGCCGTGCCACTAGTCAGCACGGCTGTCTCTCCCGTTCACCCTCGATGTGCTGGACGTCGCGGGCTCTCGGGGTCGCTGTTCCCGCTACGGACCCTGGGGGGCTTTGAAAAGCTGTGAAGCCCAAGGGACCTGAGAAGCTGCAGACACTGTCGTGCGCGGGCTACCTGGACCGCTTACACAATGCATTGCGCACGTGACGCGTTTTAAGCGCATTTATGTAGGTCAAAGAGGTCGCCTCCAGCGGCTGGCGGCTAGCCCATGTTTCGATTACAGTGAGCCTACGTGGACGATTTATAATTAACTGAGCGTGAAATAAGGGTCGTTATGCAGGTGCATAGATAACATGAACTACCATAGTAGTTCATGTTATCTATGGTAGGTGCTATTCCCCCATAGCTACGAAGCGTGCAAGACATCGTAGTTGAACAATGGACAGTTCTAATGAACTTGCCGAATATTTAAATTCCTCATGTTTAGCGCTGCACCTAAGCGCAAATGTACCTATAAAAAGCTTCAGCCAGTTCATTGATATTTGATCACATGTGTTTTAATTAGATATGTTTCGTTCGTAATGCATGCTATATAGCATTTAGTATCGTTCGTATATAAGCCAATCGTAAAACCAAGACAGTAGATATGTGAGAGACGGAGAGGATTTTGCGTTAATGTTGTCATGCCACACCGCTGTCACAAATTGTGGACTGCTGACGTTCACGAACTAATCTGTGAACTGCATGCCAACACACCGGTGAAACAGTTGACAACTGCTGCGCTCTTCGGACCAATGTTTCTCGAGCACTTAATGAAGCTGTTAACTATGCCATGGCCTTTAGCACACAGTTGGCGGGCGTTGTATACAGGGTTGACGTGTCTTGTCGCGACTACTGATGTCGTGCGGGCTTGACGGTTCCATCAACTTGCCCAGCCTGAAGCCCTACATGCCGCCCAGCTAAGTATTCCACCAACGGGCTGCTCCGGTGTGGCTGGTAGGGCGGACTGGGATAAAGGGTAGGTGTTCAATCTGGTTGCGGCCAGTTTTTTGGCACCTGCGTGGGGGTTCCTCAGTGAAGACATAAGGTCTCCTAGGATTGAAGAATCGTGGAATGACGTCATGTTACTGTTCAGCATGCCGTCATACAGATAAGCGACCGCGTCGATCGTAATTACTTAGAAAAGTATCTGATCATATACACATAACACAGGGCTTTCTTAGCGTCTTGCAGAAATCCACCTTAGTATATGCGTATTTGGAATACGAGCTGGTTCACTAAGCGCTAGCCCTGGCAGCTCGGGTTAAGACGCTTAACCCTGTCGCCTTTTTGGACTTGTCCAAAATCTTCAATATAAATCACTTTCAAATAGCTGTCAAAGGTAGACCATGTATTAGTCGTCATAAGCACTGTCTCAGGTTTCAGTTATTGCTTACATAAGCCGTCTACGTCGCTGCTATTCAGGTTCTTCAAATGCTGTCACTCAATTGTCACTAAATTGTCACTAATGATAGTACCAACATCGACCGACAAAGTGGTTTCAGTATATGTTGACAGCCTCGCCTCCCGTATGATTTACCTGTAGCCACTAGTCAGAAGATCCCAACCAAATTCATCCTCCCGTAAAGGTAAACTGAGTGGCAAGACAAACCACAGACAACTCCAAACGAACTCGCCACAGTCCTGTGTAGACCGGCGCGGATTGGCGCGGATTGGCGCAGATTTTCGCTGGCGCGCCGTCAGCCGCGGAAGGAGGCCCTTTGTCATGGACGGACTGATGCCCCTCTGACGTCATTTGGCTGGCCGTGGAGGGCTCGACGTCACATTCCACCGGTGGACGTGCCAGAAGAGGGCTGCTGTGATTCATTCATTCAGCTCGATCCGGTTAGGGACGGTGTCGATGGCTGCCACGGACGGCTGAGTATCTCTGATTAGGGAGGCGTGAGTAGTGGGATAGAAAGAGAGCCAGTTTTCATATATCTATAAATAATCACCGGCAAGGTCAGCAGGCGACCACCGTGTGAAATATTACCATCGACGCTACATGAAGGCGGGCGATTGAATTGAGGATGGGAACCAAATGAGAAAGGCTTGAGGCTGGAAGCCTGAAGCCTGAGCTTAAGCTGAAGTTTTCAGGTCATGTGTACGAATTTTGGTGGTTGAATTTACATTTAGTTGGGATTTTAATCTAGCGTACAGTTTGACTCATTTGACGGAGTTAAGTTGTTGTAAACATTGACAACTGCACAATAAACTGTTACGACCCTTGGTAGGTTTGAGCTCAGATACGTCGTATCTGAGTGTGCGACGTATGTTCCATACGTCGCACACACGTATGTTCCACTGGGCACGCGTGGGTCGCCGCACACGCTGTGCTTAAATCTTTATTTGAGCCCCTCGTCCTCGTCTCCGTCCTCAGCGATGTCACGCCGCCAGTAGTGGGTAGCACAGCAGGCCGGGATAATCAGAGTCCTCATTGCGCGCTGATTTTCTGTGCTTCATGCTGGCCTTATCCACGCTGTCTGACCATCTGCTTGTCTGTCGCTTAGTATCTTCTTCCTTCTTGCTTCTTCCTTCTTCCTATTTCTTTCTTTTTTCTTTTTTTTTCTCTCTTTCTCTCTCCCTAGTCTCTCTTTCTCTCTCTTCTCTCTCTCTCTCTCTCTCTCTCTCTCTCTCTCTCTCTCTCTCTCTCTCTCTCTCTCTCTCTCTCTCTCTCTCTCTCTCTCTCTCTCTCTCTCTCTCTCTCTCTCTCTCTCTCTCTCTCTCTCTCTTCCCTATGGTTTTGCGCTGTTTTTACTCAAAGGTTCCGTGTAGGCAGACATGTCTAGGAACAAGGCGGCATCCGGCGTCAGAGACAGAACCACCCGCCTCATTATTATCGTGACGGAAATGTCAGAAGTCTATACTGACCTACCGCACACCCACGTCTTCCTCCGCTTCTGGCCCGGGAGACAGCAGGGAGAGACAAAGTGACGGTGGAGGATGGAGAGATGGGGCAGGAGGTGCTGGGGGCAGATGGCTTATTTTTTGCCTAGATGCTAGATGTTGCCTGTAGGTAGATGTATAATGTATATTGTATTCTGCAGTTATGATGTATGCGTCCAGGATATTGCAGAGGGAGAGAGAGAGAGAGAGAGAGAGAGAGAGAGAGAGAGAGAGAGAGAGAGAGAGAGAGAGAGAGAGAGAGAGAGAGAGAGAGAGAGAGAGAGAGAGAGAGAGAGAGAGAGAGAAAGAAAGAAAGAAAGAGAGAGAGAGAGAGAGACATAATGCAAAAAAAAAGAAGATGAGAGATGAGAGTTAGAAACTACTATGGCCGCCTCCCATCCAGCAGTGCTCAGTTGGTCACAGTCAGCACTCTTCTCTGGATGTGTCCCCTACTGTTCTGATGGTGTCGTTTCCATTCGGCAGGGCTCGGCTGATAACCAGCACACTCTCTCTGGACGTGTCCCCTACTTTTCTGACGGTGTTGTCTCTATCCTGCAGGGCTCGGCTGACTCCAACAATTCCCACCCGTCCTCGGACCTCTCTCTGGACGAGGAGAGGGAAAACCTGCGCAGAGAGACCGAACGCCAGGCGCTGGCACAGCTCGAAAAGGCCAGGGTGAGTACAGTACCAACTGCTGAACATATAAAACAGAGTACCAGGCACTGATAACTGAGGACTGAACCGTCTAACTGCCCACAGCTTACTTGTCCAGTTCGGAAAAACCGAAGCTCAAGAATTTCGCAGTTTTACTCCATGACCCCATAGATACCGTTGTCCGTTACTGACAAGGAATTATATAAATAATATAAGTATTTTTGGCAAAACAGGCAATTTTATCGCATTGAGATAAACCTTTGCAAAGCTTTTATGATCGTCCATACTGATAGATTTCTTGGTAGGTTGCTTCTGTCCTCCTCGCCATGGCATTTGTATGCATCACTTCCCTGGATTAGGGCCCGTATGATCGCTAGCTGATGTGCACATTTCATGTTATTATGCATGCCCCCGCTGAGGCTGGCATGGTGGCACATGACAGCTACCTGCTCAGCCTCTTTGGAAGTGAAGCCTCTGCGATAGCCTGCTGGGTGGGCTGTGGAAAAATACCTTTATTGCTCCGTGCAATGTGCATGGCGTTGCTACGCTGCTTTAGGTGAAATCTACTTCATTGTTACTGCATTATGTAAACCAGTAGTCACGAGGGTAAAGCAGTGAATAGACAAATATTTGTTGAAAGGGACCATTCAACACATTTACATGGGTAAACGCGTCTCTTCAATAGGCTCAATCAGCACCCATTGTGTTTGTAGTGTTGGTGCTGTTTTCTGTTCTTGTAAGGTACGCGTGCTGAAAACGCATGATTGACAAAACCATACATGCAAGTGTGTTGATATCAATATTGGCCTCAATGGATAGTATAGTATCAAGTATCAACACTGCAGCGTGCAGTATGCAGTCATATTGTTGGCGACTTTCATTCAACCCCAGAAGTCTATCAAGCCCTATTCCGAGAAAGCCTATCTCTTCTTGACTGAGCCATCTTCTCATGTGACTTGTTCATGTTCGTAGATCACAAAGCTTCTGGCTAGTTTTTTGCACGACTGTTTGAACTCTGTGAAATAACCTAAAGAGGGATAGTCGAATGATAGCTTTGCTTAATTTTAAGATTCTTTTATTGATGAATGGTGAAAACTGAAAACATTAAACACTATGGCCTCTATTCTTCACTATTCCTCGTGTGTTTTCTATTATTTCTTCCGGACAAACTACATCTAAATTTATCTATGTATGTTTGATTGCTGTCATATTTTAGTGAGATATCATAAACATTATTGTTTGCAACGACTGAAGACGTTTATAGCCTCCATTAGTTCAGTTTGTGTCACTTGGGGAAACCAATCGGATTTAAGTGCTTGACATGGTAAAAAAACCTGCAAGAAACAAGCCTAAAACATGGAACACCACAAGGGGCCTGTGAATCAGGGTATCTGTGAAGCGCTGAAGCACGTTAGTACAAAGTGAGGTGCTCCTTGTATGTGTGGAAGTTTGTAGGTCATTGATAGCTAAGCAACGGATAGCCGAGTAAACTAGTTTAGAAGGCTGTTTAGAAGGCTGATACGAGTTTCAGGATTCTGACAAACAAGTCTGCAGTCAAAGAGCAGTACAGCGTGCACCCCTTCGCTTCGGAGGATTTTTCCAGGGGCGGAGAATTAGGGGTTTTGGGGGTGCGCGAGCACCCCCTGAGCCAAAAAGTGTGCCAAAAGCACCCCCTGGAATCTGCAAGTCTACACAAAAATAAAATTTCACATTCTAAGCATGATAAAAAATATATAGGTAAAGGACATGTCATTTTCATTCACAAAGTCAAACATAAACTTTGTGAAGCATTCAATGGAAGCATGCACCCAATACCTAGGTATCACGGTTACAATTTGCATGATGAAAACGATTGTTATTGCTCAAGACTCAATGACTGTCCAATTGTCCAATGTCCTGGGACTTATTTGTAAGAAAAAAAGATATGCCTCAAGATACTGGTGTTTCACCTGTTGTGACAAAAGCCTGAAAACATTGCAGAACCTCACAGTCAGGACACAATCTTGTTGGACAATGCACGCATTTGTTCATTCACAGACTTCTCTATATATATTCTCTATATATAGAGAAGTCTGTGGTTCATTATATGCTTTCTACGATATAGGTATATCTTTAGCTCATGAACCCAAAATTCTAAAAAGAAATGATACGTTGGCAACTTGAAGGCTGAATTATGTTTTAGTATTAGGACCTCATGGGCTGAATCACAAGAGAATAACTGGCCTGCGCCATAATCGTTGCAATAGCGCAGCGATGGCTAATTTGTACCTATCCCGCCATATTAAAGTTTTCCATTTATCAGAGGAAGAAATACAATTTTCAAGAAAGCATTTGATAATTAATGGTTTTGCAAATTGCAAAAGCTGATTTCATTTGGACGTTATTGACATGCTTTTTTATGATATATTTTATTTCAATAGTAAATAATTTTCATCTTGAAGAAATTTGTCTTTTTAACCTTGCAAAAAGTTGCACGTTCGTCAATCTAGCAGCACATTGATATTCGCGAATCTGCTGCTGGTAGACAGGCATTCGCGGCTTCCGAATTTGCTGCTTTTGGCATGAAACAAAAGTTGGATTCTAAGCCCAGACTAGCTTTAGCCCCTTTCGCATCAAATTCAATTCAAATCTCGACATAATATGCCAGATACACTTCATTGTACCTCCCATCCCAAGTGGGGACAAGCGACAAGAACACGACTCAAGTTCTTATTTTGCCTTTTTAGCAATGTGCTGAAGAGGGCTTACTTTTAAATCGTACCAGGCCCAGAAGCAGCATATTCGAGCCTCGAGGAACGGAGAATGCCTGTCTACCAGCAGCAGATTCGCGAATATCAGTTACTTTGCTGCTAGATTAAAGGTAGTGTGCCAGCTTTCTTGGACCGTATGGAGTTAATGGCCCAGATAAGGAGAACCGGATTTTTGGAACTTATCCATACCTTCAAAACTCATGGAAACGTCTTAAATTCTTCAAATTTTGAGTACCCCAGTGCGAAATTCGCCCCGACGGGTTGTCGGTCGTACCCCAACCACATTTCACACCACTATGAACAATAAATGCACACACTGAAATCGCTATTACCAATATGCTCATCCAATCAAGTTTCGATAAACCCGTTCATCATCATCTCCTGCGGTTTCGAACACGCCTGTTAGGTGGCTTCTGATGCTCGTCGAGGTCGGAATTTCCAAATACGCGTGGTGCGTCGGGCCGCGCGCTCTGACTTCGGCCAAGAAAAATGCGTCAGCTGATCATTGTCATTTCTGCCACTTGCGTGTGGTGAAATGGGGTCATAACTTATAAGACGGCTTTTTCATATCAATTATTTTACATAAAATCATATTTCAAACCATAAATAATGTTCGACAGCCAAATAAAAGAAACAATACCAATACGGGCTTACAGTTTAAGGCTCGACATTGTGTTGTCTACGATTAGACAGCTGATAACTCATTCCCGTACGTCGTATGGTCGTAACACTATAATGACCTTTGCTTATTGTCACAAGTGCGCCGCATTCGCGATTGTTGCCCGACGCCTGTTTGCAGGTGAGCCCACTACAGTTGTTATACATATCTAAAAACCGAAAAACTTTTAGGCGAAAAAGGCACTATTCCAGGCCCATTTTTGATTTTTTTTGCGATATTAGGTAAAAACAGAAGCTTCTTATCCTAGAAAAAATAAAATGGGAAATCTTTCAAAGGTGGCACACTACCTTTAACCCAGTGCAACTGCTGTGACTGGTTGCGGCTGCGATAGCAACGCTCCATGTTAGATAGAACATATTACATAAAACGTTTTATCAACGTCAATGATAGCTCATATTGATGCTTCTTTGTTTTATTTTGCAAGGTTAGGCTCTTTCGATCTTGCGAGACCTTTGCAGAGTCGGGAGCATGATAATATAGGGAGAGGCAGGCCTGCGGACACCGGGCACTGGGCAGTGGGCGGCCAGCCTGCATGCAGGGCCCTACATGGGGCTGAAGGGGACTGCTGGGCGGCTGAGCCCGCCATGATAAACAGCTCACCCAGACCCACTGATGCTTTCTCACCGCACCTGAGCATGCTTCTGGGGGAGCTACCTACACGCTTCGGATAGAGGTGACCGTCAAGGGTCTAGCCCGGACCAGGTTTTTAGAGTCCTTGAAGAATGAGGTGAAGGATTTGCCTACCCTGGGGATGAAAAAGAGAGCATGTTATAGTTATTTTCGACGCTCATTGGCTCATTGGTCAGTGACTTTTTTTTTGGGGGGAGGGGCAACTGGCCTAGCCAAGGGTGGCACAGGGAGCACCTGTCCCCTACCATCCTCATTGGGCTTAGGGGCCCCTGACGCCCGGCCCTTTGGTCCGTCGAAGTTTTAAGTGCCGAGTCTTCTCCCGGGGCCGGGGTCTCCAATTACCCACTCCGGCTCCTGAGAGATCCGTCAGGTTCTTGAAGCCGCACACAGGCACCCAACTCCTGAGGACACCGGATGCGCCCCAAGGGCCCCGCAAAGGCTTTTTTGAAGCTCAAAAGCAGTCCCCGAGAGCCCTAGCTGATGTCTGAGAAATAGCTCCCTGATAACATTCAGAACCATTCAGAAGAACATTCAGAAAAGTCAATCACCAGACGCATGTATCTAAAGACCCACATATCTTTAAGGGTCTCTTCAGCCGTCTTTGAGGGCCACACCCATGTCAAGGGGCCCTACTTCAGGCTCTAGGGGCCCCAGGTGAACCTTTGAGGGCAAATATTGCGCAGGTCTCCGAAGGTCCGCACTCCGCGCAGATCTTTTAGGGCCCGCGCAAATCTCTGAGCGGTTTTGCTGGCCTGTGACAGAAAAGACGAGTTTCTGAGGCCCTAAACGATCTCCTGCGGAGTGTCGGCAGTCGGCACCGTGTGGTCACGTGCACCTCTGTGGGTCACCCCTTAACCTGACTTCCAATGGCCCCACATAGGGCCCAGAGAGGCTTAGGGCGCAGAGAGGCTTCAAGTGCCGAAAGAAAAAGCCCCTGTCAGGTGGCCTACAACTTCTTTTTAAAAAGTTCAAAAAAGTTAATAAAAACTTTTTAAAAAAAAGTTTAAAAGTAAAAAAAATATCGTGCCAGGGCTGTTACGAAAAATAAGTGGCCTAAATCCAATGAAAAACAGGATTTGGGGGTACCTTAGGTTTGGCTCCCTCGGTGTGCCCCCCGCCCGCGCTCAAGCTCTGGATCCGCCAGTGAAAGCACCCCCTGGCATTTTGACAATTCTCCACCTATGGATTTTTCTATGTGTTAAGAGTAGGATGAATTTGAAGTTGGATAGTTACGAAGGCAGATTCTACAATATCAGTGTTGATCATTCGTTCTCAATTTGAAAATGAAATTGGCATTTCATTTTGTTTTCAATTCTGGTTTGGTAGGTATGTATCCTAGCACTCGCAGCTTATACGACCAGACAGGTAATTTACTTTGGGAGTTACCCGACTTCAGCTTTCCGTTTTGCCATGAAGCGGTCAATATGCGCCAAGTGCCGTGCCTTTTGGGCTGCTCCCTGCAAATGCTACATTGCTATGCATATACATACATCCTGTACACTAGTGGTTCATGCGTCCTGTATTTACATTCTGCACCGCTTGGCCGCCGTATCCAAACTGCGCCTCGGGGTTCCAGTTTTCACTCTATTCCCTATATTGTATACCATAGGTATGCGTCATGTTCTTTTACGGTCTTTCACTGAGGGTTCGCCTGGCATCAATGTGGCGGTGTGTTCAGTTAAGTAGCGGAATGTGGACGAGGGTTCAGGGGTTGAGCTGGCCGCTGTGACCACGCATCAGCACGCCACACGACGCTACGCTAGGCGGAGAGTTCAGGTGGTCACGCGATCCCCAGCGATGTGCGGAACACAGCCGCAGCACTAGTTAGATCAATTCAACCAGCGTGGGTTCATTAGTGGAAAGAAAAGCCGGGACTGAAGGCGAAGGGGAAATCCAGCTATACCTAGTAATGAACACCACTGGACTTACCCAGTTCACACGAATGAATTGTAAATATCGTTTCTTCAGTTCGTTATGGTGGTGCGAACATACCGAAGTTATTACCCATAAACAGAACACTTTGACCGGCCTCGGTAAAACCTGTTCTAGTGTCTCGCGACTGACCCCTTTCCCCTCTGTCTCGTTGGTACAGACAAAGCCGGTGGCGTTCGCCGTGCGGACCAACGTCGCGTACGACGGCGGCCTGGACGACGACTCGCCTGTGCACGGGTCGGCCATCTCGTTCGACGTGAAAGACTTCCTCCACATCAAGGTAACAGGTGTCCAGAACTGGTGTACGTTTTGTCGAATAATGCCTCATTTTTTAATGTTTAGATGACCAATTTAATGCACTACATAACTTTTTATGACCCACAATTTTTCTCAAATGGAGAATTTTAATTGCAAGAGAAATATTGGCTGTATTGGTATAAAGTATAAACGAATTAAATCGATGCCTTTTTACCTCGGTCTTTTTACTTATCGATATATACCGTTCACATTATTTGTGAGTTGAAGACAGACCGATTACGCTTGGTTTTATGTGTTCACATCAAACATAATAAATCTATAAAAAAAACATTAACAAAAACTTATCTATAAAGCTTGATCATCTAATTTAATGCGGGAATCGTGTGCGGGTGCACTGTCATCCCAGCCACAAATAAGCCATAATCGGTCGCTGGTGGCTGCGTTCCTCTCGAATCCTCGACACCGGATTTTCCACTTGACCCAGCCAGTGCGGTGGTTTCGTCATGTTCCGAGAAACGCAGTTCGCCAGTGACGCCTATATTCATTGTAATGTCGGAAGCGGCCGATCGAACAACCACTCTTGATGGGCCGTCATGAGTGATGAAATCCAATCACAGTATACAGCGAACTCGCAGCGCTCATCCTGCGTCCCGTCGGCTTCGTTGAAGCTACCACGGTGCAAAGTGGCGGCAAGTGTTCTCACGGTTGATTAGTTCGCTAGTGCGTCTATTGGAAACTGGGGAAGATAGCCGTCGATTGATGTTGTCCGAACAATCAGTGTCAATTGGTTCGACTGAGCTCGTGTGCTTCGACGCGAGATGGCGTATCAAGATGAATGTTGCGAGTCCGAACGTGTTTGGTGTATTCTGTCTACATTTCCGGTAATTTTACCAATACCATATGTTTCACGTAACATTACTGCTCTCCTCTACACTTTAAACATATATTCATAGACCTCTGTATACATGGACTGGACACAGAAAATCCGGCCATGACCACAACGGCCCTAAAAGTAAATGCTTATAACTCGAGAGTCAGTTCACCTACGACATCCATTTTTTCACCGCCGCATAGCCCCATTCATTGAAAATGATGGGGATCATCCGCCGAACCGATGCGGTGTAACGGGGGAGCACCAGCACGTGGCGCGTGAGAGATGTTTATGAAAATGGTGTGACAGTATCTCGGGAACGGCTTGACCGAATGAGTCCAGATTTGGCACCCAGCTAGGTATAACACACCTGCCAATAACACATGTCCCAATTTTGAGGTGCCGATGCACGTGCGCACGTGCACACCCCTTTTTTGTATCTCAGAAACTACTCGTCCGATTTCGCTCAAATATTGTATACAGGCAACAGCCTAACAACCATTGCTGGCTCACACCTCAAGCAAGGGGTGCGACTGCACCTGAGCACGTGCACACCCCTTGTTCATATCTTGGAAACTAGCCGCCCGATTTAGCTGAAATTTTGCATATACCCAAGTGTCTTATAACCATTGCTGGTGTTTGTCTCAATGTTGAGGTGCCGCTGCACGTGCGCACGTGCGCACCCTTCCATTATATCTCGGAAATAAACAGTCCCATTTCGTTGAAACTTTGAATACAACCATGGTCCCCACAACTACCGCTTATTCACACCTGAATAGTTGATATCATAACTAAAAATAACAACAAACGACTTAAAACTGTTGATCGTGTAATCCAACAGATTATGATCGTTGTAGTTGTATGCGTTGTTGTATGCGTGCAGCCGCACCTGATAATGCAGAAGTTCAGTCCAGTTGGGAAATAAGTTTCTAAGATCCGCAAATGTATAAGTCGCCAGTGGTTATGGAGTACATTGCTGCGTAGAAGATCTCAGCAAAACAAAACGGAACCGCTAGTTTCCGAGCCACGAATTGGGGTGCGCGCGTGGCGCGTGCGCACGTGCAGCGGCAATTCAAGCTTGCGATGAGTATCAGGAACGTTTAGCTTGGCTCTTAGGGAGGCAGATACAAAGTTTCAGCTAAATCGGGCGGCTAGTTTCCAAGATATGAACAAGGGGTGTGCACGTGCTCACGTGCAGTCGCACCCCTTGCTTGAGGTGTGAGCCAGCAATGGTTGTTAGGCTGTTGCCTGTATACAATATTTGAGCGAAATCGGACGAGTAGTTTCTGAGATACAAAAAAGGGGTGTGCACGTGCGCACGTGCATCGGCACCTCAAAATTGGGACATGTGTTATTGGCAGGTGTGTTATACCTAGCTGGGTGCCAAATCTGGACTCATTCGGTCAAGCCGTTCCCGAGATACTGTCACACCATTTTCATAAACATCTCTCACGCGCCACGTGCTGGTGCTCCCCCGTTACACCGCATCGGTTCGGCGGATGATCCCCATCATTTTCAATGAATGGGGCTATGCGGCGGTGAAAAAAATGGATGTCGTAGGTGAACTGACTCTCGAGTTATAAGCATTTACTTTTAGGGCCGTTGTGGTCATGGCCGGATTTTCTGTGTCCAGTCCATGTATACAGAGGTCTATGATATATTCAATAGTTATACGCACTCAGGGATTAGAAATGGATGTCACACGCAAATGCCACTCGCCCGGTATTCCCCCGTTCATCCATGGCTCTCGGGCCGCACGGGCAGGTAGGCTGTGCCGCAGTACAGCAATGTAATGCGGTGCAGTCTGCTTACAGGCAGATCGTCCCTCTGCCTCGGCGCCCCTGGAAGAAATCCCATTGTGAAACTGGAACTTGGGGGCGATGTTTCTGGTGAAATTAATGCAAAATTTATGATGAATACTGATTGCTTTGTTATGACTTATGGGCATTATCATTTCTCTGCAAAGCAAAAATCTGTAAAAAAAAGATCAGTAAAAAAAAACTCCACTCCAACTGAAGTTTGTTTACCGACGATATGCCTTTTTGTCATTCCGTTACTGTATAGCTGCCCAAAGCATCCACTCGTGTAAGAGGTCGTTTCTCTCTTCTGTGCAATTGTGCATTGCATGTCTCTCATGATCATCGTTTTGTTTATGTGGATGCCGATGGCTCTACCAGAGATCCACGACCGCCATAAACCGACATCATAGTCTGGGAGCACAATGGCAGAGCCAAAGGCAAAATGCAAGTGAGCTCACTAACAAGCTGTTAAATTTTAACGACTTTCTAAGATGGCGCGACATTCCTAAATTTATATTAAAAAGCAGAATTATTTCCATTTGATTATCCGACAACTTATCGCGCAAACGACGTTTGTTCATCACCTAAAGACGATCGACCGCCTTCCCCAGCACTGGACGATATCAGATGTTTGGGTCCCGACGGGCCATGGACGAGGAAAAAGCTCGGCACTAACAACCTTTGACATTCTTTTCCACAAAAGTAAGACCTTTCTACCTTTCCACCTGAGTACGGCAGTAATCGAATCTAGTCTCCGTATCCCTTTTCAAAGGAGTCCGACAGTAACACCCTCTGACCTCCGCGTCCCTTTCCACAGGAGAAGTACGACAACAACTGGTGGATCGGCCGGCTGGTGAAGGAAGGCGCAGAGGTCGGCTTCATCCCCTCCCCGGCCAAGCTGGAGACACTGCGACTACAGACGGCTGGCAACCCTCGGCTTCACAACAAGCAGCCGCCGGCCGGAGCCATGACCGGGCTCAGCGACGTGCTCTCCAACAGTGAGTGACGTCATCGGATAGAGGGGAGGAGCAGAGAGAGGGAGGGAGTGACCCGCAGGATCCTGAAGCTGCACTGGGCCGGTGGGGAGGGTGTCGAAGATTGGTGTAGCAATGGCTGCTTTCGCTCTACACAAAATCCACCCGTTTCACAATATACGAGTAGCTGCCAACAGCCGTGGGGAAACTTTTTTTTTCAAATACTTTTACTTGCATATGAGTTACGGTTCATCAAAACCACCTGCAGACGCCAAACGTCAGTTATTGCCATTGAGCAAGGCACCCAGCGCCCAAGCCCTACTTCACCCGGCTGCTGTGTCTGCCACATGTTGGACCACTAGCTCGAATAGCTCACTTGTGATGGCACTTCGCCGACCTCCGCTCACCGGCTTGACCCGGATGTTGCCCTGCAGTCAATGTTGTGACATGACCACCCCGGGCTGTATGTCATGACTGGCAGCTAACCTCTGTCTGGTCGGGACTGACCTTTAAGCGTGCTATCCTAACGTTCCAAATGGCGACACGTGCAAGGCGGTGGGCTGAGTCCCGCTGTCGATCCGGCTGTGTGTAATTTAAACCGCCCATAATGCAACGAGTGTGTGTTGTCCATGTGTAGGGTGTGCGGAGGAGTCGTGGAACAATGAACATGCCGCTTACTGCTAAGTTCCCACCAGCTTAGTTCCTCTGTTAGTCTCTGTGATTGTTTCGGCGACAACAATGTCACTCTGACTACTGATGGTTTATCAAAATACAACCCAAAACCGTCTGACACAATCGAAGTCCGCGAACGCGCGTTGTAGACAAAACTTGTGTTGGCATCACTGACTCAGCACATTCGCATCGCTCGAGACGGATGTTAAGTTGACCGAGGTGTGCTCGTAAACCGCCGTACAGCCTATAGTCATAGTTATAGTTATTTTGCTGGATGTGCTACACTGTCAACTTAATCTCGGCATTCTCGATAGCTACTGCTGCACGCTTACAATTAAGCTAGTTTTGTCATCTTTCATAGGTAATTGTGTTTCGTGTAAACAGAATGATAACACTATTTTGAAATATAAAAAGCTGAGAAATAATTTACTTGCGAAGGCAGCACCAGCCATGTCTGTAACTCTCTCTAGGACTTATTTTTACCGAGTTACGTCACGGCACAAATGAAAGAATAACAAAAACATCCAGGACACAATCATACAGATGGAGCTTCAGTCCGACTACTCTCAAACCCCGGTGAAATTATTTCGTTGCTTTGACCCGACGCCAACTGCACACATTAGACGGTGGGGTTGGTTTTGCATGACAGAGACCGCCCGCGTGCGGGAGGAAGGCGGGAACGCTCTCTGCTAGTTCATCCGCGACTGCACGCGCGGGTCTGTAGATCAAAGAGCTCTGAAGGATGGCTCGCTTTGCTCTCCCTACACCCTCAGGACGTGGGGGGGGGGGGCAGCTTCAATCCAAATATATAGGACCGGGTCGGGATGGGCCACACGACCGAGATGGGGTCTGACCCTAAACTGAAAATAATACAGGACTGAAAACATTGTAAATAAGATTTCATCATTTGTTATCCCGGATTATATCAATGTCCTTAACTGTTATTCATTCCTTTATTCATTTTCAGTCTTAGGTCAACTTGTTAGGAAACGCTGTTAGGAACGCTGATTATGGCACTGTTGAAATGTTTATTTTACCGCTTTTGTTGTCAATTTATTTCCGAGCTACCAAAGTTTGACGTAGTGTTGTCATAGGCGGCGGAACGGGGGGGGTTCACCGGGACACCGTGCCCCCCTTTGATTTTGGCATTTTAACATCAGCCCTATGTGCGTTGCATGGAAAGAATGGGACCAAAAGTCGGCGGTGCCCCCTCCCCCCTTGCTCTCGCATCTAGCGAAAGACGATGTAGCATTATATGTACAGCCCTCTGCAAACTGCGTGGTAGGTATTCTTTTTCCGACAAAACCGAGAATAACGCGAATGCTATGCTAACGGTCACTCGGAAATCGTAACGGGAAGACGCGCGAGGCTCCGCACATTCGATTGGGCTTATTTTGGTATACATTTTTCATCTAGTTTAGCAACAACACACAGAAGTTTATATTTGCCCCCAAAACAAACTTTTGCATTTTGTTGCCACACAAGGCATATACTTTGTTTATTGATAGACCCAATCGAAGGAGTGGAGCATAGCGCATCTATATGCAATGAGATTCGACCGACTGATAACATGACCTTTGAGTTATTATCGGTTTTGTCGAAAAAAGAATACCTACCACGCAGTTTGCAGAGGGCTGTACTGTCGTCTTTAGTACGCGGCCTGTACTGATAGAACCCCGGCCTTCTTTTTTTGTACATACGTCTCCCGTACCAATCTAACCCCGATCTGACTCCGTTTCAGGTCTGGATGTGGATCAGAACGGAATGGAGACGGCCATGGGGGACGACTCGGACTCCACGGGCAAGGGCAAGCCCAACCTCACCACTCCGCCGGCACGGGAGAAGCGGAAGCCCTTCTTCAAGAAGCAGGCGAGTGATGTATGTCACGCTTCTTTTTCTATTTTTTTTTTTATTTCCTCAAGTAAGTGGTGTGCTTCAGTCAAAGATTACCTCGCCCTGTGCCGATCCTAGGTTAATTGGATGAACCGGCCACGGACGGTTCTTATCTTGCTATGGTATCTGCAAAAGTCGTGGCCATCTAGACAGCCTTCTCAGTCCTTTCCACCTAATCGTATTGAATGAATGATGGCCTGTGATTTGTGATTTATGGGTCATGGGACTGATAGTTTTGGCAAGATAAAACGTAAAACGCAGCAATTATTTAGTTTCAGTCGCAGCAATTAGTTAATAACTTCGATGTGACTTTATCTCAATTTTGTGAAAATTTGTCAGGGACTAGACTACGCCGCCGGGCTTCCGCCGATTGAGCCTTTGGACATCCTTTTACTTGTTGTAAATGAAAGTAAATAAAAGCCGGCTGAGAATCCTTTCGATAAAGAACAGTCGGCTACTACCTCCCCTTAAACATGGATCGCTTCCAAGACATTACATCCTGTGTTCTCTTTCCTTCTTTGACTGAAGCACACACATTATCAGCATTAGTCAATGTTGTGCGTAGATCCAAAGTTAATTTCTCATTTTATGTTAGTACTTGAAACTGCATTGCTAAATGTTATTTATTTTAAATGTTGCACGGAACAGTAGAACTTTGTGCGCACAATCGTATTGGAATTTATTCTTACTTACGGTGCTATACCTATGCTGCCTTCTTAGTTCATCTTAAGCCTAGAAACACGCTCAATAAAGCCATGGCTGTATTGCACCTAGCTACACACCAAAAGGCTATGTTCACTGCCCAGTCAGCATAGCGCTGGCTCTCACGCCGTTAGAAGTCGAGCACCCGCCGTTAGAAGTTAGCACTGAATGTGCACACTGCTCGCGCATTGCCCGCAGTCGTTCATTGCACACCGCACAGTGGACGGAATTTATGGCTGTTCGGCGTGACACGCGGTCAAAACATGCATGTACCGGCAAGGCCACTCCGTGCCGGGCACTGGCCTAGAACCTGGCGACACGATAACGGCACGCCTCGGCAGCTAGTTTGTAATCACTGCTCCATGGTATTTCACTGCCGTGGAACGATGGCATTCGCAGCGGTGAAAGCGAAATTACCGAGAAGTTAACTGTCGGTGCTGCCCTAAACACTAGTTATTTGCACGAGTTATTTAATGCAAATAACTCACGATGAGCTCGCAAATGTGAGACTTGGATAGTTGAAATTTTAATAAAGTTCATTTTATCGTTGACTTGGTGTCAATCGTCGAGCTTATATTGAATACCATCAAAGATGGTTTGCATTGGAATGCTTAACCCTCGCACGACCAGGCCATTTCTCATAACACGAACGACCAGGGGGGGGGGGGGTTGTTACGACCCCCCCCCTGGCGTTTCGAAACGGAAGGTCGTAGAGCTTAGCGGAAAAAAACCAACGGATTGCTCTCAACGAGATCTCGCGATTGGTGGTATATTTTTTGGTCCTAGGTCAACATTTGACCTACTTATGACCGGTCAAAGGTCAAATTTTCTGAAAAATAGACTTTTTCAACTTTCCGCGGCGATTGCGGCAAAACGGTGGGAGATATCGACTTGAAATCTTCATTATCGTGTTCCTTGATCAATTCTCTATCGTTTGGTATGTATTTCGTTTCCCTAGCTCTAAAAATGGCGCGTTGGGAGCGCCGGAAGTCGGCAAGGTCACAGTCGGCGGCAGAAATTCGAAAAATCAAAATTCAAATTTTTGAAATCTGATTGTATTTTTGGATTTGGGAGGTCCATTTGCTCCCTATAGAAGCTAATATTGCTGCATATTCCCATTGAGGTGACAAGAATTAGCAAAATAGTGGTTCGGGCGCTTTTCAAAAATAGTACCGGACGCTGTTCCTCTTGTGACGTCATAGCTCCGTGACCTGACCTGACCCGGTCAATTTTCTTGCACCACACGATAGCCAATGCTTGCCCCAACATGCATGGGAAGTTTCATCATGATCCATCAAACAATGTGGGTATCACCGGCAGAAAACCTAGGGATTCGGCGCACACGTTTGGTAACTGTCGGCCGGAGGCTGTACCTCTTATGACGTCATAACTCCGTGACCTGACATGACCCGATCAATTTTTTTTCGGCAAAAGATGCGCAAAGGTTGCCCTAGAGGGTATTGAAAATTTAAGCCCGCTACGACAAGCCGTTTAGCGTGCACTTCGAAAAAACCTCAGGGGGGGGGTTGATACAACCCCCCCCCCCCCTAGGCGTTCTAGGGTTAAGAAATACGTGGCCATTTAGGTCGGGAAAAGAATAGGGGAAGGAGGGTGAATTGCGCCACCTTAAGGAAAAACGCTAATTGTAAGAAAACCGCTGGAGATATAAGCATGCACTGGTAACCACTTCAAAGAGGAACTCATTAGCTACGATTTAAGAGCCTCCCGATCAATTAAGAATGTTTCGTTTGCTTCCGACAGCTGCTTTTTCAGAAACATGCAAAAGGGCGCATTTACCGACAACTGCTGTAAATTGCGCCAGGGGGATGGCGCAATTATAATCCAATTGCGCCCTATACTTAAACATGGCTAAGCGAATGAGACGGAATGCATACACCCCGGCAGTGTAATGTCATTGCGGCTTACTTAAACACTTATAATGTTAATCATGCTGGATAAATGATAAATGTAGATATAAATCGCGATGTTTTTTGCTCAGGCAAATAACTTTACATGTGTCCGTATGTTTGTAAAAGTGCAACGAAAACATTTTATGTAACCGACTAGATATATGTGAAAGTATGGTTAAATTTTCAATCGTTTCTATCAAAATTATTAATTTTTATCGTTTCAACAACTTGTTGACATCACTTTTACTTTTTGATCATAGCTGTTACCTCTCACGCCCGAGTTCATGTTGAAAATGCCGTATTTTGTCAATTACACCACAAGTTCGCAGCCTAAATGGCAGTTGCATTATAAGTTTGACGAGAGAAATAATTTGCGGACTGGCGACAGTGGGCTGCTCCCCTGCCTGGCATTAAACTCCTTCTTTATTGCATTCAGTTAATGATGCATTCATACTGTCGTGATGCAATAGCTACACCATTATTCTATTTGCGCCCCCATGGCGCAATTGCCATGGGCGCAATTAGAATTGAGGTAGTTTTTAATAAAAGCGTAGAAGTTATCATAAACATGCTGAAGGAAGTTTACTGTTTAACTGAAATATAATGAAAAAATGGGCTTTCTTTCTAAATATAACTCCGAAAATCACACATGTATCACATATTTTTATAGCCAACGGTTCAAAATACTGCAAAAAAGTTAAGAAAACGCCGTAGTTTCTTTGATGGCGTAACTGAGCTCTGCTGATTGGCTTCGTCGGAGAGCTTGGGCCATAAAATGAACTATCAGGTGGTGAGAATATTGTTTTCGAACACAAAATTATAAACATGCCATTGAATTCGTGGGAATGTTGGTGGGCGCAATTGGTTAGGAGGGCGCAATACACCCACTTTCCCCTATTGCGAAGAAACCTGAAATGGAAATTTCAACTGGCTTCGTTATGACATGTCGTTGAACTCTTCAGCATTTTCGTAGCCATTTCGTAGCTCAACAATGCCAGCAATATTATACCACGCCATTTAAAACTTAGACATCCCGCAACCCGGTCCGCACTGCACTGCCTGGCCATAAGGCCCCAGTGTTGCCTGGTGAAGCCCGAGTAGCGGGCGGCCTCGGAGCCGGTGTCTGCACTGATGGCCCTTCTCGTGTGTGCCAGCAGGAGACGCCGGCCCCCTACGACGTAGTGCCTTCGATGCGGCCGCTGGTACTGGTCGGACCCAGCCTCAAGGGGTACGAGGTGACCGACATGATGCAGAAGGCCGTCTTCGACTTCCTCAAGAACAAGTTCGAGGGGAGGTGAGTGGGTACGCCGTGCCATTCCTGGGAATCCTTCTGCGTGGGAGGACAGACTGGTGACCGCGACGTTGAGAAGTGATTTCATTGTCATTCATGTGGTCAGGAATTACCGCCGGTCTGTCATTCTTTTGAGGCGTGTATGGAATCCTGTCAAGGATGGAAATGGATTAATGTCTCATTGAAGGGTTTGCAGGCCGACCATTTCTCCGAAGTCGATCAGCAGGCAGACATTATTTCAGGGAAGTCGCATCCATTTTGTAGTCGACAGTAACGGTTCATTCGTGGAATAGTTAAACTATGGTCCTGTTGCTGTTGTCACTGAACTAAGAGCCTCCGTTTACATATGCTGGCCCTCGATATATATCGGCACTTTTGCAGCATAATTGTGTGTGCCTTTTCATCCTTGGGTACGCAGTATGTGAGCCGCACTATAAACGTCCTATCACCGACTCTCCTACATTCGCAGGATTATCATCACCCGAGTGACTGCCGACATCTCCATGGCCAAGCGGAACCTGCTCAACAACCCCTCGAAGAGGGCCATACTGGAGCGAACCAGCCCCCGGTCGGCCTGTGTCAGCGAGGTGCTCGCAGAAATCGAGAGGATATTCGAGTACGCTCGCACGCTGCAGGTGCGTATATGTTTTACATTTCACTATATACCACGCTATTGATGACATGTTATCCACACATTTAGATTTAACTATGTTTCATGAGCTAACGAGAAGGTATTGATTGCATCATGTAATGTGCGGATAGACGAAAAGTTAAAATCGTGGGCCTCGGAGTCGAGAAGTACCTACAAATCTATTCCCTGTACCTGCAGATATGAGTAGTTATGACACGACAGATCCATTTGGTAAAATGCCATTTTCTGCGAACGCTGCCAACCACGCACATTAGGTGACTGTTAATTCTCCAGAAGTCAATGATCCGTGTACTGACATTTTGTTCGTGTGCTCTGCTGACAGCTGGTGGTTCTCGACTGTGATACCATCAACCATCCGTCACAACTGGCCAAAACGTCACTAGCGCCCATCCTCTGCTACATCAAAATCTCCTCGCCAAAGGTAAGTCTGCGGTCGGTAGAGTATCGTACTTAGCGGGAATTAATGCTTAAAGTATCCGCTATGGTGACGGTGAACGTTACATGATTCACTAATTCAGTAGCAATGGAAAGCTTTATGCTTCTCGGTGTAGTTAGCCACTCCATAAATCATTCCTTGTGACGGAAATTAACCCGCGCCCCGTTGGGCTCTGCCGAGCAACGCGCCCCGTTGGGGGGGGGGCCATTTTGCCCCCCCCCCCTAAGATCTCGAGAACCACACAACGTAGCGACAAGCGGCAAACGGTGTTGGATAGCTCTATCAGGGAACTACCTTGTGACCCAATTTTATTGACCTAGGTCAAACCGATGACGTCACAGGTCAGGTCAAAGGTCCAATTTTCACCGTTTACAGGCATTTCAAGAAATGCGTTGTAAAATCGAGTAAAATACATTTCATTGAAAATCATCGATGGGGAAATGTTCTTCAAACACATATTTTGCTAGTTGAGGTCACTGATACCAGGTCAGGTCACTGAGGTCAGGTCACTGGGGGGTCACAATATGAAAGTGTCGTGTGATACATGTTTTATGGTCCATTTTACATGACAAATGCGATTATGTGGGTCAGGCAGCCTTTGGGGCCAGCTTAGGTCACGTTTTGGTCAAGGTCAGGTCAAGGTCAGGTCAAGGTCAGGTCAAATAAGGTCAAATTTCAAAGTTGATATTTTTGCATAAAATGGGTATCGAATCGATGCAGCTCGTCACGGGGAGTTCAATGGTGGTCTTTGTTTTGCCGTACGAGGTCTAGAATCGCGAGTTCTAATTGAATCGCGAGTAAAAATTAAGTTCAAAAATTTGACGTCATCATTTTTGAACAGTTTTTTCGCTATAACTTGGCCAAAAAACGAGATATCGATCTGAAATTTGGTATGTATATAGAAGAGCGCAGGGACTATCACATATATTCCGGTTTTTCGAAATTCGGAAAAAAAATTTGGATTTTTTTTAGTTTTTCTAAAAAAATCAATTTTTTTGAAATTTTTTGGGTCAAAAACCCAAAATTTTGAAAATCCGAGATAGCAGTTTTGTAGCGCCGCTTTTTGTCTATTAGACCATATAAAGAACTTTGAAATTGCTTGATAACTGTAGATTTGGTGAGCGTTTCAAGATTGCATGTTTTTTGCTCGTTTTTGCTCGAACATGACCTCAGTTTGACCTCAATAACTCCTGACCTAAGGTGACCTAAGACTTGAAATTTGGTGTGAAGGTGTCAAATTGATGCCCGGAAAGGTACTGAAAATTTGGCGGCGCTGCGCGCCGCCGTTTTCTTGCTATTCAGGAAAAACCACATGGGGGCCAAAATGCCCCCCCCCAACGGGGCGAGGGTTAACGTTTTGTCCTAGCATTTAGCAATAGCTCACTTTGTCATGAAGCAGAGCCAATCAATTAGTGAAAATATGTTTTTTGAAGCCCAGCAAGGGCGTCGTTTTTGCATTTAAGACGAAACTATGCCAGAGGAAATAAGTTTGATATAACGTTCTGGAAATGAACAATCCCGATGCAACTGCACCGTCACCTAGAGTACTCTAGTTTCTTAGCCCACGCATCTATCGGCTAGTTCTAATCACATCTCACCCCCCCCCCCCAATACCTCAGGTTCTTCAGCGACTGATCAAGTCCCGCGGCAAATCCCAGTCCAAGAACCTGACAGTACAGATGGCGGCTGCTGAGAAGCTCGACCAGTGTCCTCCTGAGATGTTCGATATCGTACTGGACGAAAACCAGCTGGATGAGGCATGTGAACATCTCGGGGAGTTCATGGAGGCCTACTGGCGCGCCACGCATCCTCCCGTGAAGACGCCGCCGCCGAGTATACAGCGGCCGATTCCCAGCCCGCACCCCAGTCCTCGGATGGACCACTCGGGACTGACGCGAACGAGCAGTACGCCGCCTGGTGAGTGGGGCAGAGGGAGAGAGTAGAGAGGCAGGAGGAGAGAGGGTGTGAGTAGAGCCAAACCAGCAGCACGCCGCCTGGTGAGTAGAGAGAGAGGGGCAGTACTCAGTGGGGAGAGGACTAGTGAGCAGGGCGGTGAGGTAGGAAGGAAAAGGACAGCCCGACTGGTGAGTGGGAGAGGGAAGGAGGAGAATAGGAAACACTCCATGGTGAGTGGATAGAGTGAAAGAGAGGGATGGAGTTGAGTCGCACCAGCAGGCAGCAACATTTGCCTCCTGAGAAGTAGACTAGCTGGGGGGTGGGTTGTCAGACTGGCTGAGTGGTCAGACTGGCTGGGAAGAGGTGTCAGACTGTCTAGGAATGGGTTGCAAACTGTCCATTACGCTCTGTGAGTTGGTTGTTGAGAGCCGCTTTAAACTTACTCGGCGACTCAGCGAGTGCAGTGCACGAGGCGTGGCTTTAACGTGTGCGCTGCTCTATCTCTATCTCTCGTTCATTTCGCTCGCTATGTCTTTCCTCTTACTCGCTTTCAGCTAACTCTGCGTCTGAGGGTGGAGGAATTCACATTGTTGAACATGCCTCGTTTGCCCTGCCCGTCATAAGGCCAGGCTGTAATGAAATGTCGATCTTCAAATTTAAGCGCACACCTCCCTGAAATGCGGCCCTCGAATCAAACACGCTCTTTATATACGTTTATAGTGACTTGAATCCCAGAAGAAGAAGAAAAAATATTACGTTAGCGCGAGGCGCCAAGTGGGCTGCGACCCATGCAGTTCGTAGTTGCCGTCGTTTGCCAATAGATGGCGCTGCTGTAGACGGGCCAGCCGTCTAAGAATGTGCTGCTGTGCTTGCAGTGAGCCAGGGCAAGATCACACCAGGTCGCCACCACCACCACCACCACCGCGCCGCCGCCGGCCATGCGCATGCGCACGCGCATGCGCCGTCCCACTAGCGGCGGGCGAATCACTGTTAGCTATCCTGCCAGGTGGCGCCGGCGGCTAGGCTGGCGCGAGGTAGGCCGCTGTGACCCGGTGTGCCCCTAGAACGTGTCAGTCCACCCCGGCCTCCGTCCGCCGCCCCCCGGCTGCAGAACGAGACACGACTCTGAGGCCACAGTAGAAAAGAACTGGTTGTGCGCCGCCACCCGCGTCTATTGTGATATCCTCTGTGGCTTCCCTCTTCTCTTTAAGCTGTTATCCCTGCCCACCTTTTCGTTTTTATGCCTTTTATACTATGTTTTGATTCACTGTCGATAAATTTTGACGTGATATGTCGCTTAGGTAACAATGTCTCCTTGTCGTTTTTTCAATCCTGTTCTATTTGGTTGTCTCGGTCTTGTCTTGCACACCAATTTTATATTTAATGCCTCCATCTATGCATCTGTCCGATATTCATAACTATCAATGTTGTGTTTCTCTTGTCTTTCCCTGTTCCATTCTTCACATATTAGCCACACAAAACAGGTAGCGCTGCCCGATACACATATTGGAATTAAGCCCTCTTAGCACGTAGGCCACTAACCACAAATTAATTCTCTGAAAGTCACTACATATGGATTGAAATCAGGTCAACGCTAAACCAGGATGATACTCTCTATTCTATATTAAGCAGCTCGAAACTCTAATATCGATTAACTGCAGTTCTAGCGTTATTATCTGTTTCTTTCAACTAATAAACAGCATTTCTGGATTTCGCCTTCCTGCGGTGTTAACCTTATTTCCTGGTACCAAATGCTTAATTGACATTTACTTCCTTCTTGTATAGATGCACTCGTGCTTTCAGCATATTTCACTAACCATCGTGTACTTCGACACATTTAACAGTTTTCGTGTTCCACACACCCTGACCTATAACAGCCTTCTATTTCTGTCATTTACAACTGAACATCTAACAATGTATGTACATACCACAGCCATGCCCTATCCCTGCCCCGTGTGTCTGTCTGACCCCTGCTGACCTGACCCCACTGACCTGACCTCAGTGACCTGACCCCGGTGGTGTCAGGTGCTCTGGTCGCCTACTAATCGTGCTGTGCGCCCCTGCTGTGTGTGACGCCGCCCATTAACCCATCCCTTACCTCTCGCAGTGCCGCACGAGGCGCAGTATGAGGCGTTCGAGCGTGATGATAGAGGTACGTAATCCAACATAGCTAAGTCTGCAAACCTATACCCGCCCCGCAGCTTGGCATTGACGTGTCCCCAGGCACATTAGCTCGTCCTCGGTTCGGCCTGCATGATATCACCGGCTGTATTTGTCATTGACGTCTGGCCGTCTAACTGGTGTAGCCTGCATTCTGGCTATTCTGGTCAAAGCTACTAAATTCTTGTAGACGACGTTCTCTATCTATGCATTTGTTGTCTTATCCTGACAACATAGAAAAAAGTGAACTTCAAGATTTATCGGTCAGGGTGAAATTTGGGCTGAGGCCCCTCCGTAGTATGCGAAGCAGCATGCTAGTTTTTGGCTGAGCTCGCATAGGATCTGACTGACAGTTCATGCCGTTTTCAGTGATTTACCACGGGCGGCACCGGCACCACGACCAGGGGCGGCGGCACGCCGACTACGACGACGAGCCCATGTACCGCGACGAGCGGCGGCCGCGGCACGCGCACCATCGCGACGACGCCTTCAGCCCATCACCGCCGCCGCCGCAGGTGCCGACGCAACCAGCCTCGCGGCGCGCTCTCAACGTCTAGCGACCGGCGCGACATCTATAGAGAACGCGGCGCGACGACAGCGCCGCCGCGCCCGAGGCTGTGCGCGGCGATCGGCGGCTGCCAGGTCGGTCTGCCGCCTGACTGACGGGTTCTTTCTCGACCAAGTATATCTTGTTACTGAGTTGTGCATGACTCCGCCGATGGATCTGTACATAGTGTGGGCTGCTGGGCGCGGCTGAGCGCCGGGCCGCTGGCGTGTGATAACGGATACCGACGGCGCTGCTTTCATTGTACCGCTCGCGCGCCGCTCGTCGCCCATCCCTTTCAGTCGCTGGAGTGCTGGCGTGCTGGGACAAGTGCATTGCGCCCTTCAGGCGGCCGTCGGCCCAGCGAGCCGCCGAGGGCGACCTCTTTGTACCCACCAGATCGTGCATGGTTTGCTTATCCCCGGCCTTGGTCGCGTTGATTTGATGTCCGGAAGGACTGCCAGGGATAGGGGATTGGGGAGGCACTGGCTCATTGCGAATTTCACGGCGCGGAAGAGTTTGACTAGAAGGATTCGTAACGTGAGAGAGGTCATTAGTGGAGTTGTTGATTGGTTGGTGAAACCAACACATTGCATAATCACGGTGGCATAATTACGCGGTGCGGTGTCATAATCAGGTGATACGACGGCATAATCAGGTGATATTCATCTGTCGACAGGTGTTTATTCCTCCTTAGATAGTTAGATGACAAACATGATGCTTGCCAATTGTTTTACACGGATGGTTACGACACGAAGTCGTATTCGTTGACGCTAGTACTGATCGGATCGCTCCCCGCGACCGTAGCATTCTAGAGCATAACGACAGTTTGCCAGTTTTACTTAGCGTTACATTTATTCATTGCGTCACCGCTCGCCATTGCTGGAGCGAGTGTGTTGGCACCCCGTCTCCCTCCGTTTGAAGCATGAATCTGAGAATGTAGTGGACAGTGGGACTCGCCGAACTCCCGTTAGGGACGCTGTCGAGTCTGCCCGCGCTACGAGCGCTGTTAAACGTGCCTCAGTGGCTTCACTCGCCCGGCCCTGTACCGCTGCGACTTGTGGTGCGTTTGCCCCGCTCCGGCCCGTTCCAGCGCGTTCCGGCGGCTCCCCAGCCGCTCACTGCCGTTCCCGCGGCGGCCCGACCGCAGCAGCTGCAGCTCGAATAGCGCGCCAATTTTTCGCGCGAACCGCTACCCCGTCAAGCCATGCGTTTGTGTTTAGGGTTTACCGAGAGGTTTTGTTGAGAGGTTGTTGTCGAAGCAGGTCGGTTTTATGATATTACGCCCAGAGCCCGGCTGGCTTTGAGTGGCTTCGTGCGTTTATGAGAGGTGACGGTTATGTATTTGCCTGATTCGCACGGTATTTCCTCAGCATTGTAACTGAAGTGGCTGGTGGACGTCTTGGTCTGCCTGAAGTAATGTTAGATTTTATCAAACGTCAAAATCGCTGGACAAGTGAGTGAATGTTTGAGTGGACGCTGCACCTGCTCATTATATAAGTACTCATTAACGAGTCGTACACTTCCCACTAACACTGAATGCGTTCAGAGGCGTCCACTTAAACATTCGCTCGGTTGTCCTATTACCTATAACGCCTCTCTGAGTTATCAGCGCTCACATACTTTTAGTCAGCTCTCAGCGCCTCTCGAGGCAAGTGCTACACCTCCGCGGTGAGCGTGTCTCAGGATTGTCTCTCTGTTTGTCTCACGGTCACCTCTCCGCAGCTCTGCTTCAGCCCAGATCAGATCTGACGTCATATCAGTGATGACGTCTCATGCCACGTATTTGTCTCTAGTGATGTCTACTGTGGCAACGTTGGCTGCGGCTTCATGCGGCGCTGATAACTCTGTAAAGGAGGCTTTTCTTTGTGTTTGTCCTGCTCATTTTGAGAACATTTAAGTCGGATGTTAGCCACTGGTCACTGGTGCAGACTTATGTTTGCGATAATCAAAACACTATCCTCTGCCTGTCGCAAATCGACAAATATCCCTCGTGCAGAGCTATTTTTATCTAATCCGACGGTACGGTGGAATGTAGGCACTCGCAGGTGGCGTGTCGGCCGATGGACGTCCCAGCCTGTTGTGCCGGTCCCGGTTTCTATACTGTAGTCTCACCTCCATAACCTCTGTGGGCTGGACGCCGAGTGTTTTGTGAGTCGCGCCGCTGCTGGCTTCAAGGCAGCGCCACCGCTCTATTTGAATTGTCTATTCCAATTGGTCGAAGAGTTTGTAAATACGAGTTTTTATCAGAAGGTATGAGATGTGTTTGGTGGGTGGACAATATGAGGTAGAAGGCGGGTGAATTGGTGACGATGAGGATTGCCTGAAATGTGACCAAGAGTGACTCGAACGGAACGTAGAGGTGGTCTTTTAGCTAGTGATCCTTTAGTGATGCTCAGTAATTCGTTTAACGCCTTTTCGGTGGTATGTCTTTAAAGCTGACCTCAGGTCAATGGTTTGTCCTTCAGAGAACAAACACAGAAAGATCTAAAAAGACGCGTTTTGTGAGAAAGGATTTTCTATATAGCAATGCTTCTCAGTATGTACAAGCTTGCATTGTATAACACTACCATTTCTACTACCATTTTGCTTTCTATCGCCAGGACGCACCATACGATCCTTAAAAATTCAATTTAGAATAATTGTAAGGTCATGAGTTGACCCACAATGGTCAAGCTGCATACCAGCCGACTCGCGTTGTTTAGATTAACAACTAAACATGGCCCGGGGATAGCCCCGTTGCCGAGTAGCTCTAGCTGCTTATGTTTACGTCCCGGTGTTCATGTTTATGTCTAGATGGTTATGTTTGTGTGCCTTTTCGCCAAGCTCTGCACTGTTAGATTGGCAAGACTGTTGTCAGTCTTCTTAGTCTTCCGGTCAGGCGAGTGTTGTTTTTTTATCGTTACGGTGTTGAATGAGTCAGCGACGTATCGGCCGGGCCCACGGGAGAGAAGGAAGAGTGCTGGAGATTCAGCTGAGGCTAACGGCAGAGTGAATTATCTGAATGATGCCAAGTCACGTGTGTGCTAGACTATATTAGGTATTTGTTAGCACCAAAGCACTGAAGACGCTAATTCTTCAAATTGTCTTTTATGCGTGAAGGAATGTCGAGGAAAATTGGAAAACGGCCATTGAAAACAGCTTCTGAAACTTACATAGATGAGGCAGTTTGACCCCATTTCAATTTTTGAAGCCACTTTCATTGACCCGTCATGTTCAAATCTGTGAAAGATTACTGCCTCATCCCAAGTCGTATTCGAGTTTGATAAGGTCAGCATTCAAGTCAGCACAGATCACGCTCACACCGTCGGAGCGTGGAGCGTCGGTGGGTATACGTGCACCGAGAGTCTGTCACGAGGGTCGCCTCCCGGGGCGTCCCGGCGGCCGGATCAGTGGGTAAATATGAGGCCTCATGCGGTGTAAGGGTCGCGGAACGGTCGCAGCGACACGGAACACAGGCGTGGCGGGCGTTAGTCATGAATCATCGCGACAGTTAGAAACGGATGCACAACACATGTGCCAGGTGCAAATAGAGCATGTGCACCTACAGCAAATAGTTTGTTTGTTTTGTTGGGTTAGGCCCTTTCGGTCGACAAGACCATTGCAGAGCCGGAAGGATGATAGGAATTAGGGGGAGACATTGGTCTGGGCAGGCACCCTAGTGAGTCGCCGGGGCTGAGCCCGACCAGAGGACAGGCCACCCAGCCCCAAGGCACTCACTGCACCCGGCTACGGGGTGCGCTCCCTCAGGAGCAGCGATGCCGCTCCAAGGGAGCAGCCCGCATGAGATAAAGTTGCCTGTCCAGCCCGGATGGGGGTTGCGGCTTGGAGGAGAAGGATTTCAGTATCCTGAGGATAGAAGCACGGATAGGTGTGACCTACAGCAAATAACATGTAGAGCGGCAGTGTAGTTTGTCGCCGCAATACACTCACGTTAGTACTGACGCTAGAAACTTAGTGTACCGCCTGAAGGTATGCCGTACCTACCGCATTTCACCTGAGGAACAACGATAATACTGTCGCTAGCTAACATCGCGCCCCGGCCCGACGCCTGAAGGTATGCTGCGCCGCATCAAACCTGAGAAATTACGATAACATTAACGCTAGATGGCAGCATGCGCGGCGCCTGAAGGTATGCTGCACCGCATTACACCTGTGGCTTCACGATAATATTGACGCTAGATGGCAGCACGTGTGGCGCCTGCAGGTATGCTGCACCGCATCACACCTGAGGAATTACGATACTAATGACGCTAGATGGCAGCACGCGTATCGCCTAGAGGCATGCTGTACCGCAATACACCCAAGGCGTCGCTCACGATACTAATGACGCTAGATGGCAGCACGGGTGGCGCCTGTAGGTATGCTGCACCGCATTACACCTAAGACCGACAGCGCGACCTCGACTGACTTGAGACCAACGGTATTCATCATATGGCACAATACGAAATGTGCGATACGAAATGTACGAAATGTGGCTGGTATTTCATCCAGTATGTCATTAGATTGTGATAAGGGGCCAATTGAGCTCACCGTTCCGTGCTTCTATCCTCAGGATACTGAAATCCTTCTCCTCCACGCCAAAACCTCCCTCCGGGCTCGACAGGCAACTTTATCTCATGCGGGCTGCTCCCTTGGAGCGGCACCGCTGCTCCTGAGGGAGCGCACCCCGTAGCCGGGTGCAGTGAGTGCCTTGGGGCTGGGTGGCCTGTCCTCTGGACGGGCTCAGCCCCGGCGACTCACTAGGGTGCCTGCCCAGACCAATGTCTCCCCCTACATCCTATCATCCTCCCGGCTCTGAAATGGTCTCCTTGGACCGAAAGGGCCTAACCCAACAAAACAAACAAACAAACAAACAAAACCAATTGAGCTACATTTAATACTGCTCCGAATGTAAGGGCTGTTTGTGTTGAGCAAGCATAAGTCACACTGATTCGAATTACAAATATATAATCCATATGAAATTTTAGCACCCAGTGAATGTACATATCCATGGGTGCTCTCTGTAAGTCGGTCATCTGCTTATATTTGTTTAGAACTTAGGTCTCGGAGCTTATACTGCCTGATATGGGTGCGAGCAAACTGATACGCTATCAGTTATGGCCTTCCGTTGATACGCTGACAAGTGAGTGCTCATTGGCATATTTTACCGATATGGGAACAGACCGCTTCTGTCTTGAGTCTTGACCTATGCTTCTGCTGTCTAGAAGTGGACCTGAATATTTCCCCTATGAATACACTTTAAAAACAAATCACTAAAAATGCAGGCTGGTGAAGACACATTTATTAAAAACACTTGACACGCAGCAACACGCTTGAGATGAACAGAACAAGTCCATCCCATAATAAGCAGCTTGGTGTTCATTTGCTAACGCTGCGGGCCCGGGTTGAACACTGCAGACACTTATGGTTTCCAGGTTCGGGCACGGGCGTTTCCGAAGACTTGTAATTATACATTCGACGTCATTTCTTCATAAGAAGAAATAAGACATTTATCCGGGAGTGAATGCATACGGATCCCTCAGTTGTTCATCCCAAGAATAATAAAAAATTGGTTTCAGCTTAACTTAACACTCACTGAGAAGACGTTCAAAATGGCAGTATATATGTAGAATATCCAAGACAGTTAGGATAAATGATAACAATAACACGTCAAATGTATATTTAAACACACAAAGCTTTCGGTATGAAAATACCTTGGTCACTGTGTTAACAGAAATGAGGACAGAAATTGTCACCGGCAGCTTGTACAAAAATATAAAATAGCACTCGAAAAATAGATCACAATCACGAGATTATCTATCGGGGTCCTGCCACTAAGCTTACAGCGCATGTTGCTAAAGTTATAAATCCAGTCCTAGTATTGATGGTATCGCGTGCTGATATGTGAGCCGCTTCTAAGATTTTTCGTGTCGTTTTTCGTGCGCCCTTCTCTAATAATCGAGTTGCTCCCCAGTTCGGTAAATGATGAGATTGTTCGGCATGTACGACGATTCTGTTAACACAGTGACCAAGGTATTTTCATACCGAAAGCTTTGTGTGTTTAAATATACATTTGACGTGTTATTGTTATCATTTATGGCAGTATATAATTGGTAACGATGCGAATTCAGTCATTTGCAACTCCATGCGATAGAAATTGATAAAGGCGCCACCTTTGGCCAAGCTTCGATTAGCCGATCGGCTTTCCGGAGAGGATGTTTTGTGAGCACATGTGTGGGAAGTTGACGCCGACCAGTAGAATGTCCGTCACCGGCTGAAAACGGCGGCGGTGCAAACGGTCAAATACATACACAGCAACGCACACAACTAGCGAGTAACAGGTTACAAACCAGCTTTTGATAAATAAGACACAGCCGGTAAGATGATTTAATGGGATTTGAATAAAAATAGGTACATGTTTCACAGCTTGCACAGCTTTTGAGGGTCTAACTAACAGACCGCATTCCAGTGTATGTATAATGTCACCAAGCGGCTCGCATATCCCCCTCACGGGTTCCCGTACGCCCAATAGCACGCTTAATCCCACGGCTCACCTTTAGTTGCTCGATGCATGGTGTGAAGATGGAGAAGATGATGTACCAGCCAGCGCAGAAGCCCGCGATGAAAAAGCTCACCAGGATGAGAATGATGAGCCAGACGAGGCTCCAAATGGCGCCCCCGTCATCCCGGCCGGCGCCGGCACCCTGGCCTTCCCCCGCGCCCTCTCCTCGAGCCATCTGAAAACAAACAGCGGCACAGCGAAACAGTGCCTCCGAGGTCAGAGAACGGGCGTGGCATTCAATGCAAAGAGTGAATAATATAAATCGTAGCGAAGAGTGAATAAGAAATGTCTATCAGATTACATAATGCATGTTAATCCGTCTTCTACATAATATCCTAAGTGATTACTTCATACTTGGAAAGCCTATCGTCTTGAGTCCGGCAATAAATGCGCTTACTTCCGGCAGCAAGTGTTGAGATATGGCTGTGTGATACACTATCGCATTTCCATTCGTTTGGACAAGATAGCGTCGGTGAAAAATATGGCTGGTGAGTCCCGCCTCAACATAGCAGTGGCATCACGTACAGCACAGAAGCAGACACAGTGACTGACTACCGCTAGCGATATTGAAGCAGTAAAATGTCCATTGGGCGTCGAACACACCGGTATAATAGTGAGCCGGCAATAGCAAGATACTGGTGGTCTATAGAGGCCAGAAGGGATAGGCTCATTATAAACATCGCACCATTTTGTCAATCTGATACGACTTCATCGGCTTTCAAAGTCAATCATTTATCAAATCCTCAGCATGTTTTCTTTGTCATGAGAGATACACACGGCTGGTAAATTTGCATTGTGTCAAACACTTACGTTTGTATGATCTAAATACATTTTGGGCCCACTTTTGTGACCGGCTATAAGCACTGCCGCAATTTTCAAAGCTTCACATCGCTTTATTGATATGCTGTGGCTCCGTTTTTGACCAGCCATGAGCCCAATTTTCAACGAGTAAAATGGAAATGTTTTGACCTCTGGTGACCGGAACTTGACCACTTAGATATAAGTGACTTCAGGATATTTAGGAAATTAAATAGCTATTGGGGGAGTATCTCTCATCCCGTAGCACCCATTCTTGACCCAACAGACCGACAGTGTTGTACTTACCTGAGTAAGCTGTCCGCTCCTGTCGACACAGTATCACAGTCAGTCGCTGCAGCGCCGGCCGTGCCCAGTACCAGCCGCGTCTGCTCACCACAGTCGCTCAGTCAGCACGGAGCAGCAGCGATAGCGCCAGCCTCGCGACCAGTATCAGCAAACCAGCATCACACGTCATACGTCACAGCGTCACAATACCACACGACACGGTGGGCCCCAGAGCAGAGATAGGCCAAAGTCCCGGGCCGCGGATAATGCGTTACAGCCCGTGTTATCGGTTGGTGTAGATTGTACATACGCGTGGCCGCCCTCCCCTCGACCTGTGCCAGATAGGGATGCCAGGTATCGCTCCTTCCGGTAGCGTTCAAGGAAATATGGTTGTTGCCGACAGCTTCATCAGTTTATCCTCCGGCCGGGCCGCGCAGCGTGCGGACCGGCCGCTGAGGCCACGTGGCGCCGGGAGGCATGTTTGACCTGGCCCGGGCGGTGACCCGCGCGATCGGGCGGCCCGGCGATTGGCTGCTGGTGGGCTGCGCCGCGGGCACTAGCGAGGCTATGCCGGGCCGCCACCGGACTGGCGGGCCAGTTGGGTCCGAGACGGGATGGAGTGGAGCAGGTGTGTGTCTGTCTGGGATTGTGGTCGTAAGATTTGTGCTGCAAAGTGATGGGACACAATACATCAAGTGCACTCGAGAAACAGTGTTGGTGAGGACAGTGAACAGCAGCGAGTCTTCTCAGCGTGCGAGTAGCCGATCATTTCCTTTCATCCGGGACTCATAACACGGCCTCTTCCGGGGTGTGTGAGGGAGGCGGCCACAGTGTCTCGCCATCGAGTCACTGAGCTTAAACTCGTTCCCCGGGTCTTGCCATCGAGGCTCGGGTGCGGGGTCTCCGCTCAGACAGGCGTGCGACCAGTCGGCTCCGGCTAACCTTGCCATCGAGGCGCCGGAGTATCGGTTGATCTGTCCGATTACAGTGGTCTCGCCATCGAGAGGCTGGAATCGGGCAGCGGCTGGCGTCTTCCTCACCATCCTGATCTACCCATCGCTCTCCTACAGTCCTTGTCTATCATCCGGCTAAATAAGTGTCGTTGGCGTGTGGAATACCAGAGGACACGTGGCGACATTTCTGGTCCTCCGGGCCGGATCGCGACCAGTGAGATCAGCAGGAGACGATGGGAATAGAAAAAGAAGAAGAAAAGGACGTCAGGGGGCCGAGTGCTCCCGTGGATAAAGATTCTAGTGACGCTAGAGAACAGGAACTTACCGATCTACGGAGACTCCGGGACAGCAAGCGGGCTGCCGCAACAAGAGCCTGCAAAGCGATTGAGGTGGAAATAGCCAGACGTGCCAATAGCAGTCGCATCCAGGAGGTAAACGGAAGGCTGAAAGAATCTGTTGCTACATTGAGAAAGGTACACGAGGATTACGAAAGCAAGCTTGATGGCGCAGAGCTCGGGGAAGCTCGAGAATATGCCGATTGCCTCGAAGAAGAGGAGTTGTTAATCCAGGGGAAGATCCAGCTGTACCTTCAAGAGTTGGATGAAGCCAAGTCATCAGCTGCCACCTCCCGTCACACTCGAAGTCGTGCTGGATCGCACACGTCAGCAGGAACCGCTGTTTTAGTTCGATCCAGAGAGGCTGCTGTGGAACTGGAGGACGCTGATCGCAAGCTGCGGGACCTCCGAGCTCAAGTGGAAGAGAGTCGTCGGAACGTGAGAGAAAGACAGGAATTAGATGAACGCGATAGGGTGCTACAGCTCAGAATAGCTGAAGAGGCCCGCGACAGAGCTGCTCGGAAGCTGCACATGTATCAGGCTGCGGAAGACGAACTGAACTGGGATCGTCGGCATGATTTTGATGAAGCGGCTGCCAAAGAGAGAAAAGTACATGCCAAAGATGAGGATGTGCAACGATCAGCTGAACTACCTGGTGGTATGGACGTTCCCGGCAGAGGAGGTCCACACACGGAGGCAGCGGCAAATGAGTCCAGAACGGCTGACGGTGCCATGATATCACCGGAAGTGTTTGGCTCAGTACTAAATCCAAACGCCTGGCCAGTACAAGGTCAACGACATGAGAAACAGGTGCCACAGTCACCGAAGATGTCAGCTTTCGCCAACAGCATTCCGCGTCTCAGCCTGCCACGGTTCTGCGGAGATCCAAGTGAGTGGCCCAGCTGGATCAGCCTCTTCAAGGTGCTGATACATGACCAGGCGTCCCTGTCGGATACGGAAAGAATGGCACATCTGCAACAGACTGTGGATGGGGCTGCCCGGGAAGCTATCGAAGGCCTCCGATTCGATGGAAGGATGTACCACCAAGCGCTGGCAAGACTGCACGAGCGATTCGGCCAGGAAGGTGTCATCAGCCAAGCGTGTCTCAGCTCAATGTTCTCGGTTCCAGCACCATCAGTCAGTGACCTGGCATCCATGGAGAGGTTTAATTCTACCATCAGTAACACTGTCTTGACATTGCAAGCTCTGAGATACTACGATGACCTGGGAGCGAGTGAGAACCTGCGCCGAGTCGTCTCAAAACTGCCGTGGGAGCTGATGCATCAGTGGGGACGTGAGGTCCACAAGCTGTATCCAGATCGACCCACCCTGGAGATCTTCAGCAAGTGGCTGGACACGGAAGTTGCCATTCTCAGGCACTCAACCTTCCACAATCGTGATGAAGAAGACGGGAAGTGCTCTGCACCTCCACGAGAAGCTTACGCGCAGAGAACACAGAACACATCGGGTGTGTCTTCTCACGGAGAAAGCCGAAGATGCTGGTGGTGTGTTCTGTGTGAAGAACAACACAAGCTCCAAGACTGCTCTGAGTTTCAGTCGAAGACTCTGGAGGAGAGGCTGGCTGTAGTGACCAAGGAGCGACTGTGTTGGGGCTGCCTGAACAAGGGACACTTGATGAGAGTTTGTCGATCTGCAAGGCGCTGCAACTGGAATGGATGCACCGCAATCCATCATCGACTAATTCATGTGGACAGAGATGCTACTGAGAATGACTAAGAGCAAACAGAACCAAAGACCGCGGCACGAGAAGGAAGCCGCATCGTCGGTGCTACTCTAACGGAGACAACTGATACGCTGCTGCAGTTGGTGCCGGTGCGGATACACGGTCCGACCGGAGACATAGACGTGGTAGCGCTGCTGGACCCTGGATCGCAGACTTCTTTCTGCAGCGAAGCGGTTCTGAAGAACATTGGCGTCAGAGGTGCGCGAGAAAACTTGCAGCTCCAGAACGTGGAAGGGAGTGGCCTTACACAACTCTCCCTTCGGGTTCAGTTGGCGGTCAGCCCTGTGAGCGCAGCTGTTAGCAATGAACGCATTGTGGTGCCTGAAGTATGGTCAGTACCAAAACTGAATGTGACCCCACCCAGTGTGAACAGCAAGCAGCTCAGGAGTTGGAAGCACCTGCAGGATCTAGACCTGCGGCAGTACAACGGCTCACCGGTTGAGCTGCTTCTTGGAGCTAACGTCCTGGGAGCCGTACTGCAACGAGAAGTCAGAGTGGGAAGTCCTGGAATGCCGGTCGCAGTCCGAACGGATTTAGGCTGGACTCTGACTGGCTCAATATCCACCATGATACCGTGCGCAAAGCGGCAGGTCACATTTGTGCGTTGTCAGTCAAGAGATGTTGAAGAAACTGTTGTCGATGAAGGATGGACAGCGAGAAGCCACTGTAAGGTCAACGAACCGGAGGCGGTCTACGAAAATGATGTCGGAGAACTGGAGATCTTGGACCATGCCGGGACGGTGGGGGAGAAGAGGAGAGCAGGACTCTTTATAGAAAAAGAGGAACCGGCAACTCCTGGGTATCAGAACCAGTCCCAGAGAAACAGGAAAAAGATAGGAAAGAAGAGATTCGGAAGAGCGAGGCGACAGCTGCCGCCACGACATCGTCTGCGGCGGCGCGGGAAGCAGCGATCTGCTTGGTTGCTTCGCCGCAGGCGGCTACCTCGTCGTAAGCAGCGACGCCCTAGGCGGTTATCTCAAAATGGAGGGCGAAGATCTCGGCGGCTGCCACGACGCCGGGGGCCGCGATCTCTGCAGCCACCACAGCGGTGGCGGGGGCTGCCTCGACGCTGGTGGCAGTATCGTAGGCGGCTATGTCAGCGATGGAGGCGGCGACCTCTACGACTACCCCATCAGTGGTGGCTGCACCACATCAGATGCCATGGCCTGCGCTGTGGCAGTCTTGGCACGAGCAGTACGCTGGACGGTGGCGAGCTGGAGACGTCTTCAGCCCGTCCCATACGATACGGAGGCCCTCTCACGTAGGACTGGTGGATCTGCTCGTGGTAAGGTTCCGGGGCTAGTCTGCTGTCCCCTCCAACTGCAATGGGCGCGTCTCGCCCGTTTGTGCATGAGGATCAGTGTGTGGGAGTTGCGATAACATGTATGTGCCGTGTATCAATGTATGTTTGTAAGGAGTAGGTGGTCGGCGGGCGGGACTCAAGGATGCGTGGTTTGATGTTTTTGTGCGTTGTTTGCCTCGGAGCAGATGTTTGATGCAGCGTCGGTTGCGTTGTTGTAAGTGTTGCCCTTATGTGCAACACGGTGGGGGAGGATGTTGCCGACAGCTTCATCAGTTTATCCTCCGGCCGGGCCGCGCAGCGTGCGGACCGGCCGCTGAGGCCACGTGGCGCCGGGAGGCATGTTTGACCTGGCCCGGGCGGTGACCCGCGCGATCGGGCGGCCCGGCGATTGGCTGCTGGTGGGCTGCGCCGCGGGCACTAGCGAGGCTATGCCGGGCCGCCACCGGACTGGCGGGCCAGTTGGGTCCGAGACGGGATGGAGTGGAGCAGGTGTGTGTCTGTCTGGGATTGTGGTCGTAAGATTTGTGCTGCAAAGTGATGGGACACAATACATCAAGTGCACTCGAGAAACAGTGTTGGTGAGGACAGTGAACAGCAGCGAGTCTTCTCAGCGTGCGAGTAGCCGATCATTTCCTTTCATCCGGGACTCATAACACGGCCTCTTCCGGGGTGTGTGAGGGAGGCGGCCACAGTGTCTCGCCATCGAGTCACTGAGCTTAAACTCGTTCCCCGGGTCTTGCCATCGAGGCTCGGGTGCGGGGTCTCCGCTCAGACAGGGGTGCGACCAGTCGGCTCCGGCTAACCTTGCCATCGAGGCGCCGGAGTATCGGTTGATCTGTCCGATTACAGTGGTCTCGCCATCGAGAGGCTGGAATCGGGCAGCGGCTGGCGTCTTCCTCACCATCCTGATCTACCCATCGCTCTCCTACAGTCCTTGTCTATCATCCGGCTAAATAAGTGTCGTTGGCGTGTGGAATACCAGAGGACACGTGGCGACAATGGTTGTACTGTGATCCCTCTCAAGGATGAAGGAGTCGAAGGTGCACCGGACATTGACTTGATAGCGGTCGAGAGGTCGGGTACATTTCATGTATGGCTTTTAGGAATGGTGAGTCAGGAAGTAATGGACTGATTATCTCGGCACAGATAAAAGCGTCGTAACCTATTCCAAGCTTAGAGATGAGCATGTGCTTCAATATTATCATCGAGTTCAGGAAAACAAAAACTTATCCTTAATTAGCTATTTATTTTGTTACGTTTATGACCAATGGTCTCTTTCGAAATCGATGGCAGCTGGCAGCTGCCATTCCCTTGACAATATGTGTATTGTGCACCTCTTTTGTAACGGAAGGAGAGACAAAAACAATGCGGTTATCCAGTGCGGCACCTTGCCAGAACCTTCTTATTAAGTTGTTAACTATGCAATCGAAGATATGCTCGTGAGATGTCTGTCAAACAGCCCATCCGCCGCTGTGACACTGATTAGTGCTGAAGGTGAAGGTAAAACCGGACCGGAATGGGGTCACACAGTGCTGAACCGGCCGGCCGCAGCGTCTCGCAACGCGTGCAACCCAGCGACGATTAGACGAACCCGCGGCGGAAACGGAACGGAAACTGAGCGGAAACGGAAACGGAACGGAAACGGAACGGAAACGGAACGGAAACGGAACGGAAACGGAACGGAAACGGAACGGAAACGGAACGGAAACGGAACGGAAACGGAACGGAAACGGAACGGAAACGGAACGGAAACGGAACGGAAACGGAACGGAAACGGAACGGAAACGGAACGGAAACGGAACGGAAACGAAACGCAAAGTCTGGCTGTGTATTGGTCCTGTGAGGGAAGGGAGCAAACTGGAGTAAAAAGGGATCTGAAGCGTTCCAGAAGTGAAACAATAGCTAGAACGCACACAGATAGACAAAAAACGAGCTCGGAATGGAGATATATAGTAAGTTTGTCTGATTGGCGGAGTGTTAACCCTATTAGTGGCAGGCTCCTGGCTACCCCTATTAGTGGCAGGGGGGGGGCTGTTTACGACCCCCCCCCCCTTGATATCTCGAGATCTAACGGGCCGATTTTCAAAATTCAAACGGCATTCGATTTCGCTCAACGTGATCTACATTTCTAAAAAATGAAAATTAAAAAAATGTCTATAGGGAGGTAGAGGGGGGTACAAACGGGCAAATTGCAGATACATTTTAGACTGTTTATCACGGCCAGGTTTCTGAACCAATCTTAACGCAACTTTTGCCGATCGATAGAGAATGAACCTGGAATTTACATGGATCCTAAAAATATGCATTTTCAAAAATCATAGGCGGATACAGATCATTGAAATTGGGGGTACACAAAAACTATAATAAATAAGGTTTTTGTTGGTACTGTTTCTAAAAAGGGTGGTAATGGTCTTGTTATGTTACAATTTTCTTATGAGAGAACGACTACAATTGTATTGGTCATGCATAGGCGGTGTCAGGGCACCTATGTTGGGAGGTAAAACATAACCCCCCTTTTTGGACGCCTGGATCCGCCTATTATAGCAAAAACGTGTCAGAAGAGGATGCACAACAACTTTGTATATGTTATCACATGATACCTTTCATTCACTGTTCGTAAAACTTATTATAATACATCAGCATCGTGATCTTCGCCCAAATGACTCGCTTCACGAATAGGACCCCCCAATTCCCAGTGCTCTGGAGCCGCCCCTGGTAAAGTTATGAACTTGAAATTTTCAGGGAATGTGCCCAATTTAGTTTTAGGAAAAGTCAGAAAATTTCAGCATCGTAGCATCAGCGGTTTCGGAGATATTCCCGAAAAACCTGAGGGGTGGATGAAAACAACCCCCCCCCTGCCACTAATAGGGTTAAGAATGCATTACATCTAAACGAAATGTCATCAAAATATGCCGATAAGATGCAGTGTCGGAAGCTGAACAAAGGAAACGACCCGGATATAGAATAGAGAATGTCTGAAAAATAACAGAACGGCGAAGCGTGACGCAGAAACAGAATGGTACGGCAGTGCAACGGCAAAGCGGCGTGATGTAACGCAGCGGAATCCGTTATGAAATCAGCAAATCAGCCCCGATCAGCAGCGGCGAAGCCGGTGAGGAGGGAGGGTGCTGGGTAGACCGGCTGGACGGCTGGACGGCTGGATGGTTGGATGGCTGGGGTCGGCCGGACGGTCGGCAGGTCAGAACGACCGCGGCCGGTGACGAGAGTGGACAGACGGCAGCGGCACGAGTGGACCGTGCCACCCACTCCGGTGGTGAGTGAGGTGGAGTGTGAGCGAGTGTGGACAGTGAGGAGTGTGATCATCCCTGCAGCGACAGAAGATATCAATTGTAGGGAGAGGACGGCTGAAAGGCTTCAGCGAAATCACCGGCACTGCCGGTGAACGTGAAGAAGAAAAATGCTAATAACGGTGAGTGCGTTTGTCTTTTGATGAATGCATATGGCTTACCAATGCAGAATGATGAGCTGATTGATGAAATTACGTCAAGGCATGATTGTTTTTATAAGATGTGCTGCCAGCCTTTTACAGCAGCAACAGTGCAGTTTATGACGACTGTCAGTTCGTGTTGCAAGCTAATAGAATAATGAAGTTGTTTTTCATGAAGTCAAGCGACGAACCCAGCGTGTACAATTTATCCTTCGTCGATTTCTCAGAAAGGTTAACTGTAAATAAAATAATACATATCAAACAGATAATGGCAAAAGCTTCCTTACATACATATACCTACATATATGAAAATGCCAAGTTTTTAAAACATTGACATTGACATTGACATTGTTTCTTTTGTAAGATGGACAAACACCTAATCCACCCTCTCATCAACGTAGAATCTCATCAATTATGTATGGTCACTTTTCGGATTATTCTCTGGGATAATAATATCTAACTCACAAGTCTATATATTTCGGATGATATTGCTCACCCTTGGTCACTGGACAAAATAAAAACAATTACATGTGTAATTCACATGTAATTGTTTTTATTTTGTCCAGTGACCAAGGGTGAGCAATATCATCCGAAATATATGGACTTGTGAGTTAGATATTATTATCCCAGAGAATAATCCGAAAAGTGACCATACATAACTAATTTCCTGGGAAAAAATGACTTTAAAACAACATATCTCATCAATTGTTGCAGCAAGCCTAAAAGTAGTGCACCAACTCGCATTAAATCAGTACTATCTCGTGTGATCTCACCGCTCTGTTTACCGTTTTCAGATACGTCTGGCGTCGTTTGCGGTCCTCTTGTCATGGTGTTCTGCCACATCTTCCCATCTGCCGGTTCAGGGTGACGATCTGCAGCGCACTGTACCGGAAATCCGGTGAGTGATGATCACCGGACAGGAGGTGAATCAGCGGAACCCATCCACAATGTCCCGGTCACATGGCACATCAGTGCCACTGACTTGACGTTAGCGTATGCTGAGGTCGCGAGCATGTTTTCTTCCTTTGTGCATCGTAGTCAAAATGAGCGTCAGTCTCAGATTGCAAGGCTGCTTACAAGTCATTGCAAACATATGTTTTGCCGGACATTTACGCAGACACCGGATAAAAAGATCGTCTGGTTGTCATGTTTTATTTATTTTCCAATTAAATAAAGATTTTTGAAACATAGAAATGCATAGCGTGTGAAGAACTTGAGTTATGGGATGGAATGCGCTAAAGAAATATGTTTTTTATTCAAACTCAGACTCCTAATTACCACTGCGTGTTATTCTAGACTATCGCGTCGTCTCAAATCTCACTTGAAGTTGCGCGATTTAATCCCAAGGGAATACCTGCAAAAGCATTGCTTGATAAGCGCTCACAAAAACACACACGTGTCCGTCTTTGGTTTCCCACCAAGATCAATTTTCTCCCACGATGGGACACACGTTCACGGTGCACTCCGCCGGCCGCCGCTCGGTCCTGCAGGTCACGTGGCCACATGCTAATCCTGTTGGACCGGTCAGGTGACCGGGCGGGGGTGCGAGAGTCGCCCCGGCGCGGGAGCCCGGCACGCTGACCGGCCGGAAAGACCGGAACTGCTTCGGCCGCTGCCGGGGCCGGGATGACCTGATTTCCCCCACACACGCCCAGCTACCCGTGCGTCATCTCGAATGACTGAAAAAATGACGCGTCTTCCGGATGTCACGTGCTGCAATGTGGAATGCATGTGTTTTTAATCATCAACAGATATTCGCATTCCAATTAGTGGATCCTTGATTGGGTCGCTGACTTTCTCGCGAAGGTTTGGCGTGGTTTCATCGTCCTCCACTCAATTTCGGGACACCATTGACATCTCCGTCGACGCGTTTAATAAGCTAGCACGACAAAAATTCAGAGTTGAGCTGCTTCGTCTACTTAAAAAAAAATTATGTTGATGTTTGACACTATCCCTGTTCTTTCTTCAGATATCGGCGAGAAGCGCCTTCACGGACACACGAGAGCCCATCAGCGACTGCATCCTCGGGTGCACACGAAGATGCTTCCAGTCAAGCCCCGGGGACACATGAGCTGTCTATCATTGCAGCTTCCAACCGTCATGGTCGGCTAACACACCACGGGATGGACCTCTCCGCCACAGCACACGACCGGGCCGATCAGCAGCCCGATCCGGAGTACATGGAGGACCCGACACACCCGGGCCGCTTCTGGTTCCGGTTTGGACTGATGGACGCTGTGGAGGGGGCGCCGAGAGGCCGACCCCCTCTGGAGGGTCAGGGAGTGGCACAGAGGGTAGAGGTGGCACCTCCACTGCGCAGGAACGACCAGATAACGGAGGAAGAGGAGCGGAAACAGACGGGAGAGCGGGTCAGTCAGGCGCCAGATCAGAAGAGGCCTAACCCGATACCGGTGCACAAAAAGGAAACGTTCCCGGCGAAGAAAGCTACTTTCCCGAAAAAGCAAGATGCATCCCGGGTTACAATCACCAACTCATCGCCAGAGAAAGAAAACAAGCTGCCTCCATTCGTGAACCATCCCAATCCCAATCTGGGATTGAACCCAAATCCAGTATCGTCGCAAAAGCCAAACACACACCATCCTCAGCAGAGGATTCCGCCTCCTTCACTTCAGCAGATTCCGCCTCCTTCTCACCAACAGATTCCGCCTCCTCCTCACCAACGAATTCCACCTCCTACCCAGCAGAGAATTCCGCCGCCTCCCCAGCAGAGGATTCCGCCTTCTTCCCAGCAGAGGATTCCGCCTCCTACCCAGCAGAGGATTCCACCACGGCCTCCGCAGCGGATCCCTGCACCTCCCCGTCCCCAGCGTCCCTTATCTCGTCCCTCTGGTGGCATCCATGCCATCCCCGCTCCCAACAACGGCAGACCGGCAGTTCCGAGCGTAATAACCGGCAGCAGAAGACCCAGCCAGCCCATTCGCCCTCCTGGGGGTGTCGGCAATCATCTGCTTCAAGGTTTTCGTCCGACCACAGTGCCCAGTCGCCGCCGGCCGGTGACTCCCCAAGGCAGACCGGCTCCGCCCCGCATCATAACCGCGGCGGAGCGACTGGACAACTCTGCTAAACCGCAGAGCTTTGATCTGTTCGCCTCCGCATCACTCAACTTCGGCGGGAGGCCGCCGGTGGCGCCCGGCACGCCCTCGGATGTCGTGGTGGGGTATTTCAAAAAGGACGAGCCGAATGGAGTTCGTGGGGCCAGGCTCTTCAACGAGCTTAACAAAGGTCAACCGGCTTTCCAGCCGCCAGGTCCCGGTTCGCAAGTGCGGCAGGTGATTCAGGTCGGAGCACAACCCAAGCCAAATCTCTCGCGTCCGCAGCCTTTTGCACAAAGCCAAGCAAACTTTCACGCCCATCCCGCGGCTCAGACAAATCAAGTCGGAAAGCAGCGGATAGTAGTTCCGTCCCCGGTCCGTCAGAGTCAGACAGTGCAGAGAGTGACAGCCGGTCAGATTACGAGTGGCGGCCAGGCGCAGCGGACGAGGCCGCCGTCGCACTCGGGTCACCCGAGAAAGCCGCGACCGCCGGCACCGGTTCAGATTAGCGCGCCAGAGCTTGATGTAAGAAAACCGGTAGCGACTCAAAGCGACCTGGGTCATTCGGGTCAGGCGGTGTCAAACGGTGATGGTTTTACAGTTCAGCATTCCGAACAGATAAAGACATTGCTGGAACATGAATCATCAAGACAGGTACAACAGGATGCACCACCTAACAGTAGCACATCAGCACTGGCCGGACAGGCAGACTCAGACAGCAATCAAGGCAAAATAGAAAATATAGGACACACAGGAGGTCCATCTGATGGTCCGGGGGAGTCAGCCAAGCTGAGACCAACACCTATCCACAGTTCAACGCAGTCCTCTACCAGTGTAGGGTCAGGGAACATCAGCATCCCTCCAGGTCAGCCAGAACAAAGGGTAACGAACAACCCTAAGGAGAACCAGAACAGGAAACCTGCCAATCCTACTCCTGTTCAAAACCACCCCAACAGTCCGTCTTTTCCCGGGAAGGAGGTTCACCGATTGAGGCCGCCGCCGCCTCTGCCGCCGCAGAAGCACTCACCGCAAGGGAACGGCGGAAAACACATCGGTAGACCATCCGCTAACGGGGCTGCTCCAGGTCACTCACCTAAACATCCTCAACATCCAAGACCAGGATCTAAAAGGAATCATCCAGTACCAAAGCCAAGACCAGTCATCCCAGGAGGAAATGCTCCGCCCTTGAGAGTACCCTCACAGCCACGGAGGCCCATTGTCCGCCCGCCAGGTTCGCCTGCTCACCCGCGGCCATCTAGCCGACGAGACGGACCTCGTCTTCCTCCGCGTCCTCCTCCGAAAACCGGCTTGCGCCCTCCTGGAGCTCCCAGGCCTCTGCCGCCCAGTGGAGCCCCAGCCCCTCCGAAAACCGGTCTGCGCCCTCCGACTGGGGCTCCCAGACCTCTGCCTCCCGGCAGAGTCCCGGCTCCGTCCACCGCAGGAGGGCGTCGTCCCAGCGGCCCTCCCCGCCTGCCGAGTAGTGGCCGTCCCACGCCTGGTGTAGGCCCTGCTGCCCGAGTGCCCCTTCAGCCGCCTCAGGGCAGCAGAGAGGCACCAGGGCCGCCAATCACAGACCGACACGACGGCAGCAGTGCCTTCCACCAGCAGTATTACCATGGTAGCGGAGGAGGTAAACATCCGCAGGCGTTGTCGTACAATCAAGGGTACAAGTACGTACCGGCTGGTTATGAAGCCTACCACGGGTACCCGTACAACGTTGAGGGCCACAACTATGGAAAGGACTTCACGCTTAGCGTACCAGGCTACGGACGAGATCAAATTCACGCCCAACGCCCTGCAGTACAGGGTCACGGACAGAATCAGGGACACAGCCACGGCCTTGGACAAGGTCATGGAGGTCAAGGATACAGACACAGTCATATGCACGGGCATGGTCCAGGTCATGGTCACGAACATGGGCACGGCGGCCAAAGCTACCCCCGAATTCCCCACACTCATGTTCCTCTCTCCTCGCCGCAGCACACGGGTCACTCCCAGGTCCATCAGGGGCACTCACATCACACAAACTCGGAGCCAGCCGTGTCTCACAGCTCATCTGAGCCAGCAAGCTTGTCAGAAGACACCGATTACTCCACAGGACAAGCCAGCCAAACAAAAGACACTGTAGCAAACCAAACTAAATTGACTAACGCCACAGAGTCTGATAACAATTCTGACAAGGAGACCAAGACAAACGAAGACGGCGAGCCGGGAGCAGAGTACTCGAGCACTGAGTCGAGCTCTAACTCCAGTTCCGACTCGGACGACTCGTCCTCGGACGAAAAGGCCGGTCCGAAAGAGCCGCTAGTGACCTCCGGGAGCTACACGGCCCCGGCACCGGAGCCTGTCCATGAGGGTGATTTAGTTCACGAATATAGCGATTATGATGATCACGGTGATTATCATGATCATGACGATTATCACGACGATGGCGGCTACGATGGATATGTGGACTCGAGTGGTAATGACTTTGGTCGTTACCATTGATAGGCACGTTTGATTGGTCTATCAATGTTTGTTTGTTTATCAATGTTTGCTTGTTTGGTATGTTTGGTTGTTTGCTTGTGTTTCTTGCCAAGCGTGTCTGCTGCTTTCCTACTGGTACTTGGCTGCTAGTTTTGCTTGGCCAGACCTATTTGTTTGTTTTCGTTTTTGTTTTTACCTTGCTTGTGTTGAAACTCGCACGCTCAAAAGCACCGCCAGAATTAGAATTAAGCACTGGCTGACCATGTAAAGAAATAGCCTTTTGCCAGTGAGCAGCACGATAAACTGAAATAGGATTAAATCGTACGAGTACGAGTCCCATGTATGAATGAATTGTATACGGTGTTGTCATACGAGTAGTGGGTGTTTATTTATTTATCAGAATGTCATGTTGTGCTTTTTTTACATGATAATAAAATGATCTATATATTGAAGAATAGTGTTTTAATTTTGGAATGCACATAGGTACGTTTAATGGCCGAGTGATTGGCAATTTTGTCATGTGCGTACAAATTCGCGAATGCGTGAACGCTGTTGTACTTGTATGTGAAGACGAGTAGCAAACTTAGAGAAGGGAAATCGTCAAAAGAGTTCGATGTCCAGCAAATACGCTCTATCAAAACGATTTTCAATTAAAAATAACGCAATAGAAGAGGCTGCATTGTTGAGATGAACGGAAAGCAGCGATGTCAATATGAAATAAAACTCGTTTGCCCTTTCTTGTCATTTTTATGGGAGGGTAACGGTAGACTTATGTGAAATTAACGTTCTAGATCATCGCGTATCATTAGATCGTATGAATACTTGGCAGCTTTTATGTTTCAAGTGGAAAAGGAAGATTTTGTTCTGCTGAGCATTGGTCATTTAGAAATATTTCTTATTGATTTTAAACGATTTCCTTTCTCTCTCTCTCCGGATCTCGCTAAGGCACAAAGAAAGAAAGAAATACTTTGGCTTTGGTTGTTGGCCACGCTGGCCGGTTTGTTTTGATTTCATAATGATGAAAACGGGTGATCAATGAAATATCAATTTTTATTTCGGTTTAACCAAAAAAAAAGTAAACCAAATACTGTAGCTGTAAATCAATTAAATTATTCTTCTAAATCGCAGAGCTGCTACGAATCCAGCATGTTTTTTGCCCAGCTCACGAGACAATAAAATCGACCGCTATATTTTTCGCTGTTTGCATTTCTCTGTTAAGCGCTAAGTAAATTTTTGTTTGAATATTTTCGACTCAAAATTTCACATGGCACCGTCAAAATCTACAAAACTTCATAAATCAGGCAAATGTCAATCAAAGAAAGTTTTACTCGGGGTTCAAGGAAGTGATGTTAAAATTTGGCACCTTGGCAACAGAAGGAAAAAAAGGTGTGGCTCAAGTCGCAAACAGAAAAGGAAAGGCTCATCTTGTGCAGCAAAGAAAGCAAAACATAGCTGTAACAAAAAGAAGGTGGCCTCCAAATGTAAACGTGAGTATGTAAAAGTTACATCATAGGAACACTGTCAGTTACGTACCTTAAATAGTCCTGTTAAGATCGTTGAAATGCTTACGGCAATGCTTTTATTCAAAGGGTATCGGAAACGCGAGTAATAGATAGGTACAGTAGGTCTACTAAAAAAGTCCCCCGCTCCAGAGGCGGCCGGCCGGCCGAACCCCCGGATTCCAGCCCCGACTCTACTGCGCAGGTTACGCGACACGGGTCAGGTCGCGGCGCCCGGCGAGTGGGTCAGTTGGCGGCGGCCGGCCGTGGAGTGAGGACGCCGTGTGTGGGGCGCAGAGATGCCGCAGTGCAGAGGAGGGGAAGATAGTGACTCTGCATGATGCCGGAAATGATGCCTTTGTGATCTAAATTAAACACATGCAGACGCAGTGCATATCCTCCCTTGCCCCATTCCTATTTTATCATAATCCTTCAATAATCAATCCGTAATGACCATTTAATGCAAGCAAGCAAACAAAACAACCCGTTTAGCGGCGAAATCATCTCGGATAAAAAGCGACAGTGATGATTGGAATAGACTTAGCGCGAGGGCAAATCGAGGGGTATATATGTATCACATACCGAGCATTTTATTCCCATCTAGCAAATCAATATTGGAGATCTTGTCCCACAAGTCAGCGGCCGTTCTAGACACAGATGAATACTTTGCGGTCGCATCATTATCTGCAATAATTCAAAGCGAGGCTTAACCCTCGCCGGCCGAGGGTGGGGGGCGGGTGCCGCCCCCCCCCCCCCATAGGGTTTTTTCGCGATAGCTCCAAACACGCTGGCGATAGAGAGCTGAAACTTAGCATACCTGACCTTTTATTCAAGCCGGATCTTTTGACACCAACCGCATTTTTTGGTCAGGTCAGGTCACTGACCTATGACGTCATAAGTGAACCTCAGCACGGTCTTCAGATGTCGCAACTTCGCAACGCCCTCACTGCCAGAGGGGATGACACAGGGAAATAAAACTTGCAGAATCTAGTATCCATTATGAGTCTCACAACTTGTATATCTCGGATTTTCCTAAAGGTCATATGAGGTCAGGTCATTTTCGTGACCTCACCATAGACCAGACATTTATGGGCCTCCTGACAGGTATGGTTGCGGTTGGTGGCAGGCCGTAGCCAGGCGAAGTCAGTGAGGGGACCGGCCGTGCGCGGCTTTGTGCGCACGTTAAACTTTGGACTCTAAATTCTGCCATAGAATCGGAATTGCGCGATCGGAGGGTAGAGGGCAGGGTCATCGCAACAAGCTTCGCTTAGCGGTGGCTCTGTCCTTGTGAATCCTTCCCATCAAAAGGTTCGGACTAAATTTATAAAAAAAAAATGAAAAAAAAATACTAAGTCAATGGGGAAAAATTAAAACTGCTATTCTGGCGCCGGGAACGATCTCCAACTGTCTCAAGCACACAGAATCGTGATTTGATGCACTCCTTGCAAGGTTAGATGCGTCACTTTTGCAATGTTGACCTTTCGTGACGTCATTTATGACGTCATCAAGGTCATATTCGTTTTTCGTCAATAACTCTTGATCAAATTGAGATAGCGAGTCGGGAAAGCCACCAATGGACTCAGGAAGACCTGTCGAATCGAATGATATGCGATATGACCTCTTTCGACCAACTGTGACCTGGGGGTGCTGACCTGACCTTGACCTGAGGTCAAAACCCTAAGTTGACATGACCCGAACAAACAGTATATCATTCGACGCGCCTGAGCCAGGCGAACACTATGCTGCCAAAATCGCGGCTCTGCGGCCATTTTTGCGAAGTTATTCACCAAAAACTGAACCGTACCTTGGTGCACTTGACCTGACCTCAGAGGTCACCGGTTAACCTAGGACCTTAAAATCGGGTACCAATCTCTGCGTCTCGTAACGGCGCACACGCTCGTTTTTTCCGCGACGCGCTATCTCCACCAGGGGCGAAACGGCGAGGGGGGTCGTAACCGCCCCCCCCCCCCTCGGCCGGCGCGTATGTAGAAAACCAATAGGTCCGAACCCGGCCGAGAAGAAGGGGTGGATATCGCCACCATGTTTTTTTGCAAAACTGATGGTAGAAGGCTGACATTTCATATGCCTTACATTTGATTCAAGCCGGATCATTTGACATTAACCACGCTTTCAGGTCAGGTCACTTAGCTATGACGTCTTACTTAACCCGCGCCGGGCCGGGGGGTTAGATATTATTAGTGAGTGAGTGAGTTAGGGCCAGTGAGTTAGATATTATTATCCCAGAGAATAATCCGAAAAGTGACCATACATAACTAATTTCCTGGGAAAAAATGACTTTAAAACAACATATAAAATGTATGTCACGGAATTTTGATATCGGTGACCTAGGGTCAGGTCAATTTTGACCTTTCAAGGTCAAATTATAGTTTATTTGACGCGTCTCGACGAGAGGAACACAATGCTGGCAAAAGTAGTGTGATGGCTCTTTTGAGTCAAAAGTTACTGCCGAAAAAACACTTCGTAAAAACGGCTATTTTTGGAGTTTTTGCCCTCTGAAGGTTAAACCGTTGACCTGAGGTCAAATCTGAGACATTATTCAGAAAGGTCTGTAAAAGGGCTGTCGAATGCGTTTTTCCGCGGCGCTGTAGCTCTATCGGTTCCCGAGATAGCCGTCGGCAGTTTCATAAATGTTTAAATAGTCAACATTTTACCTTTGGTGACCTCTGGTGACCTGACTTTTGACCTGACCCAAAAAATGACTGAAGTGTTTTCGTCCTTATTTTGGACGTTCTTTCGATTGCGCTTACCGCGTGTCGCTACGTGGCCCAGGAGCCGAGTTAGAAGGGGGGGGGGGGTGTTCAGACATCCCCCGGCACGGCGCGGAATCTCAGAGCACCTGCCCGGCGCAGGTTAAGTAAACCTCTGCACGGTTGTCGGTTATAAAATGGTGCAAATCCGCAATGCACTTAGTGTCATACGAGCATAACGGGGAAATATGGAAACTGTTAATTTGGCGTCGGAAATTATTTAAAACTATACCTCAAGCACATGAAACCGTGACTTCATTCATTCTTGGCAAGGTCTAATGCTTCACTTTTGCATTGTTCACCTTGCGTGACGTCATTTATGACGTCACTAGGGTCATAGGAGTGCTTCGTCAATAACTCCCGATCAAAATGAGCTAGCCATTCGGGACAGCCATCAATGGTCTTTGCAAGACTTGCCAAATCAAATGTTATGCAACATGTCCTCCTTTCAACAGCTTCGTGACCTGTGTTGCCCTAACATGACATTGACCTGAGGTAAACATCCTAAATTGTTTCACCTAAACAAAAAAGCATATAAATCGACGCGTCTGAGAACAGAAAACACGATTGTATCGAAATGACGATAATGGGACCATTTTTGCGAAGTTATTTACCAAAAACCGATCTAATGCCTTGGGGCCCTTGACCTGCGCTAAGAGGTCACTGATATTTTAAAATGTGGTACCAGTCACTGCGTCACGTAACGACGCAAGCGCTCGTTTTTTTTCGCGAGGATCTAGCAGCTAGCTCAAATATAGGAGCTAAACATGGGGTTGGGGAATCGCTACCTTCTCATTCACTATTAAGCCGGGATAGTGCTTGCAATTATTGTTAAAATCTAGCATTTTAAGATTTCAAATGACCCATTTTTCCCGCCCAAGTCTTTCAATTCAAGGTCATAACACCAGGTCACGTCAAGCGACCTTACCTCAAGGAAAGTTCCTGCTGCTCATTATACATCTAAATACACCGACTAACCGATCGCTTTAGAACTTTCAGCGATTTCAATGGGCAGCAGTATATGTATTTGAAACGTTTACTTTGCAAGTTTGACATTGTTGACAGAAAGGCCGGGTCAATTTTGAGATCGCTCAAGTCAATGGGAGAAAATTGTACTGCGCTTTTTTAGACGGAACGCATAATAAACACTCTGAAAACATGTGGTGCTTGATGAGATACAATACTGAATGAGAAAATTGTTTGTTTTGTTGGGAGCCATCTTTTTCGGTCTGAAAAGGCCCTTGCATAGCTATGACATTGCTCTGGTGTAGTAATTGGGTTGTGCGAGCCAGCGCCAGTGATCTGCGAAAGCGAGACTGTTCCCGTGGGACGATTGCCCTGTCGGGACGGTCCAGCCGTCTCCCAAATGGTCACCCGAAGAGGATTAGGTATGTGTCCTGGACTGGAATGGATCCGACATCAACTACAGGTTGGCTAGTGGGGTGACCTCCAGTCCAGAGAGGGAAGCATGAAGACTAGGGGCGATGCGGATTGTTTTTTTTTTTTCCTGAGGATAGCGAGGACGGAAGAGTCCCTTCCTTATACTGAATGTATCTCAGGCTGTTAAATCTCCTAAGCGTTTTTTTTTTCTCGACATCGTCAAGGTGTCATTAATAGAAACATGAAATCCGGGAGGATAAATTAGATATAGAAATTGTGGCCAACAGAACATTATCAGTTGCGTTCAACACATTCGTAAGCCTGATCATACACCCAGCTTACATATGAGCCATGTAATGATTATTTTTGATAGACATGCTAAGTTATGAAATCATCTGAAGTGTTTGTAAAGTTCCACGATACGGATCTAATATCCTGGTATGCATCATGACCATTTCTGGCCAGGTCTTGTCTTTGAACATAGGCCAAATTTTTCAAATGACCTTTAAAGATAAACTTTTGATTCATTCGAAGCGTTTTGATAAGAGGAACACGAGGCTGATAAAATTAATTTCATGCAAGTTTTAAGCTAAAAACTTTTAAGTGTTTGTGAAAAAGCAATTGGTTTTCTTCTCATACCAATGGTGGCAGTTGCTGTTATTTACGTGCTAAGCCGTTGACCTTAATTAAATCTGACAATATTATTCCGACATAGCGGTAAACGAGCTGATTGTTGTGTTAGGTTAGGCTCTTTCGGTCGATTGCAGAGTGGGAAGAATTACAGGAATTAAGGGGAGACAGGGAGCCTGGGCGGGAGTCCTGGACCTCATGCTCCGCTGGGGCCGAGCCCATCACGTGGGTTGGATTGCCCTGACACATGGATAGCCCTGGGCGGTGTTTCACGGCCCCGCGCTGCAGCACGCTGCGCTGCGCTGCTGCATTGGTTGTTGCGGCGGTTGATATGAATTCGGCTCCACGCTAGCATTGCCAGCTTCCGAGTATCTTGATGTTTCCATGGAAATTGGAAACCCAATGCACCGGTGCGCGCAACGCACCCTGTCCAAGCAAAATTTTACTATCGATGACCTCTGGTGACATGACCTCTGGCTCTGACCCGATCTAAAATTGGCTGAAGTATTTTTTTCTTTTTACTTTGCTACTTTTGACGCTACTTCGAATACCACTGAAATGCCCAAAGCTGAGTATGAGTTATATGAATGATGCTCAATCCCCATTTCCCCTCCAACAGGGCGTGAGATCTAGGCATTCCTGTGGGGCACGGGCTAACAATGACAATCTCATAATCATTGTGGCCATGATCATCTACTGCCATTCTTTAACACCGGTTTCGCTGCGCTGAGCGGTAGCCGTCCCGTTTGTTGGATTCTTCAGCTGGCTGGCGGAAAGCGTTACCGGCCGCCCGTCCACCGCCCGCGGGCTGGACCGAGCGGTCCCGCTGACCCCACGTGACCTGAGCCCGGCGCGATATGGGACAGGCAGACGGGGGTTCCGCTCAGCGAAGGCAGCGCCCACTGGTGCTGGGGACTTTTTTAATAGACCTACTGTACTACAGAGAGTAGCCACATTTATTGTGAAATGCGCATCTCATTTTGTTTATACGAAGAAGCGTAGCCGTTTAAAATGCAGTTCAAAACATTTACTTTAAGAGACGCTTAATGTAGCTCGACGATAGACGGTTAATGACGTTAAATGTAGTATAGACCGTTTACTCAACGCTCTCTCCTACAGGTGCCGGAAGCGCAAAACCAGCAAAACCGTCGTGTCCTGCTCCGGCTCCTCCGGGCCTGCTCGACAGGATAATGAGCATGTTTGGCATGTGCCCGCCTGCTAAATGTTAATGGTCAGAGAAGATACTCAAGTAGTTCAGCATCGACTATGAAGACCAACTCAGCGCTATGAAAATATGTTAAATTCATTGTCATAATATTACCTTTAAATATTTCACATTAGAACATCTAATGACAGAAGAAGAATCACTACGACACAAAATTGTCGATAAGTTTGACAACTCAAAATAAACATCAAACAAGAAAATTAAAACTAGTTTCGACGCGATACAAACTGTTTGGAATTAATTTCATTTAAATAAATGACTCAAAACTACGTCATGATTGCAAATGAAGGCTTCAAAAGAACCATGTCGGCTATGAGCATACCTATGTGTCAATGCTTTGAAAAGAAACTCACCTGAATGACTTCCTTAATTGATCGAATGAGTTTTATACAAAGGCGTGTTTTACACGTTGACTGTTGAGTTATGCCAATAAAATGTGCACCTTGCGGCAGCCGATAGCTGCATGCAAACAGGCTACATTGCATCTGGCAAGCGTCATCAATAACAGACATCATTAAATGTGCGAATATAAATACACTGGTTGCCTTCATGTATGATGCCGAGTTTGTGTTGGTTGTTGACGTGAGGATTTCATTTTCATCTAGCATGCGTACAATATTATATACCAGTATAACGCCTTTTGGGGCGACTAACGGAGCGAGCGAGAGGGTGGGCCTTGCACGTGCGAAATTGGGAGGGGGTACCTCCAACTGACTTGTGCATGTGCACGGCACCCTACTAACCGGTCTCTAGCGATGTGCCAAATTTGGGCACAATCGGCCCAGCCGTTCTCGAGATCTGGAAGCGGCACCCTGCACGTGCGCACGTGCAAAATGGGTCCCAACTGACTTGTGCACGGCACCCTACTAACCGGTCCCTAACTGTGTACCGAATTTGAGCGCAATCGGTCGAGCCGTTCTCGAGATCTGGAAACGACCCCTGCACGTGCGCACGTGCAGCAGCACCCCAACTCTGGCACATGGATATGCAGTGCCTAGTTGGTACCTACCCACATGCCAACTTTCAGCGCAATCGGCCAAGTAGTTACCAAGATATTGCAACAATTACAAAACTGACACCTCTTCGTTTTGCACGTGGCACGTGCATAAGGGGTCACCCACACGCTTCGGGAATAGTTCAATACTTGGTAGAAGGAATGAAGCTACCCTACAAAAATTACCCCGTGTAAATCGGTCAAGTGGTTGCTGAGATATAAGCCTCGCAAAAGCGTCCGCACGGCCGGCCGGCCGGCCGGCCGCTCATACTCAGAAATTTCCGTTAATCTAAGGAAAGACTACGCTCGCTTCGCTCGCTCCGTAATTAACACATGGTTTCCCGTGTGTAAATGGTTTTAACGCACGACGTGGATGGATTGGAGCACGAGTGCGTTAATGCACTAGTGAAACGAGTGCATTAACGCACGAGTGCTCCATTCCATCCACGAGTGCGTTAAAACCATTTATGCACGGAAACCATGTGTTAAACTAATTAATACATGCTTAACGGTGCGAATTTGAATTGAAATTAAATTTATTCTATGACACTAAAAGGGCCTTTTATGAGAATTCTTAGAATAAAGTCAATGACCCTTCCAAAAACTTCAGTTAAGAAATTAGCTACTGCACGCGCGTGCGTGCACCAATTTAAATTGGTGCACGGCTACCTTCGAATTATTGCACGGTTAATCTCTAGTGAACGCACCGTAAAGTATGTATTAATTGCAATTGGTAGCCAGTGCAACTGGGGAGCAACCAATAATAACAATAATTTTCGCCTCCATAATTTTCGCACACACCCCTCACCGAGTGCGGTGAGGGGTGCCTGCATGCGAAAGAGGGGCGCATTGAATGCGAAAATTGGGCGCCTGTGAGGCCTATAGGGTCGCTTCTGATGGTCATACCCCTTCCCCCCAGAGGGTTTAAAGGGACCCTCCCACCTTCAAAAAAGTTAATGAATTGGCATGAAAGTGATGTCGCTCGGTTTAGAAAGAGCAAAAACGAATATCTACCAAATTTCATCGAAAAATATTCACCGGTTTTCAAGATATTAGACTTTTAGTTTTGTTTACTTTTTGGGATCTCCGCTGTTCCTATAGCGACTTTACTTGAAAGTGCGGCATTTGTTGCGCGCAAAGCAGCATATACCACCGCGTGCTACAAAACGTTTTAGTCAAACATTTAAAAATCGTTAGATATCAGCGATGACGTCACACATTCAGAGGGGTATTCCTATGCATTAGCCCCTCTGAATCAAAATGCTTCAATTTTGAAATTCAATATTTCCGATTTAAGGCATTTCTCGAGGTTGTGAGTGCCGAAACCGGTAATTGTGAGCCAGGGACCCCATTTTGGCTATCTCAACTCAAATATAATGTTAAGGTGGGAGGGTCCCTTTAAACTGGTGCGGATATAGGTATATTCCTCACCGTCAGGGGCGTCGCCACAGATTTTCGGCAGGGGGGGGGGGGTGGGTGGATCGGCCGACTGAAAACCCAAAATTAGGTATCGTTGTGGTGCCGTGGGGCAGTTCACCACATATCAGTGACTGGGTTTTACGTTAATCAGAAATGGAGAATATCAACCTGGTGCGTGTTCCAAAAATTCAATCAGTTCGATCCAAACGGCCCCAAGTAAAAGAATTAATTTAAGGAGCGGGTTGTTATATTTAAATTACCAAAACGAAGTCAAAAACCAAAACAGCGAATCAGACCATGGAGCGACGAAGAGACGAGAATGAAATCCAAGTTGGCCAAATATGCCCTGCCTAATCTAAGTTATAAATCCCGGACAGAACGGGCCAAATCGCGGAGCCAGACGTGACGCGTCTGCTCGGGCCAAGACCTCGGCCAGAAGTCCCGGGGTTCTGAGCGCGCGGCCCGACGCAGCGGGCCGGGCCCAGACATGCGCAGAAGCACTCGGACACCACGTGGCTGCCGATCGGAGCGCGGATTGGTCACTGGCCGACGCACTGCGGCAGCGCAGGCCGCAGACACGCGGTCGCATCGTGATGGGACAAAGTTCACGAATAGACACGTCCTGGGCCGCCCCCCCCCCCCCCAGCGCCGGGGCGGGGTAGCGACGTCACAAGTCGGCGCGCGAATCGGTCTGCGCCGGGAACTCCCGTGCCGGCCGGCGACACACGTGGTTACCACAGTACTCACCGCCTCAGCGCGGAGCGCATACACGATAAGCCAAAACAATCACTTTTCACATCACTCGGTGCGCGACGCGATCGACACTTCACTGCGCGACGCAATAATCACTACACGGTACGGCGCAACGCAATTGTCACTGCACGGTCCTGCGCGACGCAAGAATCACTACACCGCGCGACGCAGTTATCACTTCACTGTCGGCGCCACGCGATCAGGATCGTCCTCGAACGCACGTACGCGGGCGCACTTAAAAGTATCTGAAGTCCGGTTGCGGCCGGAACTGCACGCGGCGGCCGCTGCGGGTGTGCACCGGCGCAGCCGCGGACGGCTTGTCGTCCTCGTCCGGCGATGCGGAAGACGTCACTCCAGGTCTTGAAGTCCTCTTGCTGGACGGTCTTGTTGTCGTCGGCGTCTGTGTTGGCTCGTCGGGCGCCCCAGTGGCGAGGGGCCCGAGCGAGGTCGACGGTGACGGCTGCTGCTCCGGAGCCGTAGGCTCGGTACTGCTCGGACCAAGCGTGTCCTCAGGTGGCGGCATGTGTGCCGGTTTGAGTCTGTCGACGCTTACAGTGTCGTGGGCGCCAGTCGGCAGCTCCAACGTGAACACTTTAGGGCTGCGTCTGATGACTCGCATGGGGCCGCGGTACGGGGACTCCAGAGAGCGCCGCACGCGGTCAACGCGTACCCACACGTGTGTGCATGTCATGAGATCGGGTGGCACATGTGTCGGTGGTGTGCGGGCATGGTTCGAGCCCTGTGAGAGTGTGACGAAATCGATTTCTGACATACGCTTTGCCAGTTCTTGGACGTACTTTGTCCCGACGGGGACCTTCTCGACGGCGCAGCGGGGAAACAGCACCTGCGCGCCTGTGACGGCAGTGAATGCCGAAAAACCCGACTCTGCTGGCATAGCTCTCAAACCTAGCAAAACGACGGGTAGCGCGCGCAACCACTCTTGCCTGCGCGCCCGGATGGCGGCTTTGAGCGTTCGGTGGACTCTTTCCACCATCCCATTACATGTCGGATGATAAGCAGTGGTTCGGAGGCGATGGAAACCTATCATTGAAGACAAGTGCGAAAACAGTTCTGATTCGAATTGGGAACCGCGGTCCGTGACTACATGCAGTGGCACTCCGAACCGGGACACCCAAGTGTCGAGGAAAGCAGAGGCTACACTTTCCGCGGTGATCGAGACCAACGGCACGGCCTCGACCCAACGCGTGGCGCGATCGATGCATGTCAACAAATAACGAAATGGCGCGGTGAAGGGGTGCCCGTGGGGTACTGACGGGGGCAGCGGCCCGACTATGTCTATATGTACAGTTTCGAACCGCTGTGAGGGAACATCAAACCGACCGGGCGGAGAACGAGTGTGTCTGTGCACCTTGGCTTCCTGGCATGCTTCACACTCCTTCACCCATCGCGCAATGTCACGGCGCATATCATGCCAGAAATAGCGAGAGCTGATGAGGCGGGTGGTGCCTTTCCTACCCGGGTGCGACAGGCCGTGGAAACGATCAAACACGGCGCGCCTGCATGCCTCTGGTACGTACGGGCGTGGATGTGGTCCAGTGTTTTCACACAGGACTGTGATGTCGCCAGACAGTGTTACTGGCTCCAATTGGGAGGTGTCCTGCGGCTTTGAGCGTGATTTTGGACCTGACTCGGAATCCTGGTGCTCTGAATCGGCACTGTCGGCGTCTCTCTCCTTTTCCTGCTTCTGAGCCGCCGCGATAAAGTGGAGGTCACATGCATCGAGGGACACTGCATGCACCGGGCGACTGAGACAGTCCGCCACCACGTTGTCACTGCCACGGATGTACGAGACCTCAGTGATGTATTCCGTGACGACACACCAGTGGCGCTGTTGGCGGTCAGACTTAGCAGTGTGCGGGCTGTGAAAAGCGCGCACGAGTGGCTTGTGGTCCGTTCGCAGGGTAACGTGGCGGCCTTCGATCATGTCACGAAAATGGAGTGTGGCCAGATAAGCCGCGAGTAGCTCTCTGTCATACGCGGCGTACTTCTGTTGGGCCTGACTGAGCTTCCGTGAAAAGAAGCCAATGGGAACGGGTACTCCGTCCACAATCTGATGGAGCGCGGCACCCACCGCGACTTGTGATGCGTCAGTAACGAGCTCGTACTGCTCGCAGTGTGGCACTGGGTGTGGAAGAGTGCAGGCGCCAGCCAGCGCTGCTTTACTGTCACTGAACGCCTGAGTCTGTTCCTCTGTCCACGTCAGTTCTTTGCTTTTTGGGTTGAGTCGAATCAGTTCGGTCAGGTGGAACGTGACATCGGCGAATCGCGGAATCATACGCCGGTAGAAGCCGATGAGTCCCAGATAGCGACGCAGTGACTCCGAGTCATGCGGTAGAGGGAGGTCCAGAATCTCCTTCACTCTGGCCT